AATGTTGTAGTATTTTATGATGCGTACAATATTTAGATAGTCACAGTACAATTAAAATAAAAATTTTGAACTTTAGAATGCAATAATAAAAGAAACGATGTAAAAAGGTTTGCATCGTATATTTGCATGTAATCTTTGTGCTAGTAAGCAATGAGATTATATGTTCTTATTCATAGGAATTGTCACATTCGTTAGAGGATAAGATTTTTTTTCGTATATCATAAATCATGCTCAAAATTTCATATTTTGCAATACTCTTCACAGAACTTATATATGCTAGTGACACAAAATACTAATTTTAGGTAGATCCATCAAAATGGATCATAAACTCATTTTTTAACGCTCACTTCTAGGCTTCTTGGGCCCAATAAAGCCCAATAGCGTGTCGTAACTCGGCCTTGTAGCCCTCATTTCAATGCAGATGGCCCGCAATTGGGCATCATGGACACAGATAAGGCTAAAATCGGTCCCGTAAACCCTATTTTGGGCTTCGTTGAACAAATGACACCAAAATAACCGGCCTATGGGCTTTGAATTGGCATTGAACTGGGCCTTGTTTACCCATTACGGCCCACAGCCGAGAGGTCGTGTTTTGGGCCTAGTGGACCCTAATTAAGGCACATTGTGGGTGAACCATGTTTCTTCTTTCGCGGGCAAATGCAGGCCCAGATTAATCGGCCCATGGGCCCAAATAGTGTGTCTTTTGGCCCATTGAGGATGAGCCCTTGTTTGGGCTTGGAGCGACCAAAATAATCGACCCGTTGGCCTAAAGTGGGACTCAAACTGGGCTTAAATAGTGTGCATTTTCGGCCCATAAAGATGGGCACTGTTTTGGGCTTCTAATGCCTTACCTGGGACTAATTGAGGCAAAAATAATCGGCCCATGGGCCTCTAACTGGGCTTAAATGATGTTGGTTTTCGTCCCAATAAAGATGACTCGGATTTCGGCTTCAAAGGCCCAAAATAATTGGCCAATGGCCCTAAAATTGGCTACAAACTGGGCCTAAATGCGTGCCTTGTGACCCATTAAAGATGGCCTGATATGGGCTTCGAAGGCCCAAAATAAATGGCCAATGGACCAAAGTGGGTCTGGAACTGGGCTTGAATGATGACCTTGTAGCCCATGATGGCTTGAATGGCCTGATTGGGGCCCAATTCAGAAACAAATGAACAGCCTATAGGGCCTTGCAACTATTAGGCCCAGCCGTGAGGGTTGTTGACCCATTAAGGCCACTGCTACTTACTCAAACGTACTTTTTTGGGATTCATGGATGATGGCTGCAACTTGTGTACAAAGCTTGGTTTTGCACAAGGAGAAGTGAAGATTGGGCGTGATAGCCAGAGTGCTATATTCTTGGCTAAGAATCTTGGATTTCATGCGAGAACAAAGCACATCGGTATACAATATCACTTCATCCAAGAGAATGTGGAATAGAAGGTCGTAGTGTTGAAGAAAGTTGATACATAGGTGAATAATGCATATTTTTTACCAGGATTGAGTGCAGAAATATTTGAATGGTGTATAACTGTGTTGGGTCTAAAGAAGCATGTGAAGTATTTACCAAGTGGAAGAAAGAATCGTATTAAGGAAGCAACAAACCTAAATCATAACTCAGTCTGCCATAGTCAAAGTCGCGGAGATGACCATTACTCTGGCACCGATGCTAGGGTTTAAGATACCGAACATAGGAAAGGCACTCAAGAAATAACAATGGTTTGGAACAATTTCGTGAACAGGGCAAAGTCCAAATCAATCCGCCAGATGCACGAACTTCTTTTCTACGGTAAAAATCGAAACGAGAAAACAACGAAAGGCGTGATGAGCTCACAATTGGAACAACACTCCGGCACTAAAACGCTGCTACAAAATATGAGAAGGCGAATGGAGAGAAAAAAAAAATGATTTTCATTCTCAAACAATTGTAGTTTCTTTTATTGGTTCATCTTCCTCTCTTTCGTGAGATGCAATACCTTCGTAAATTGGGCCCTGAATGTTTGGATCATGGGCCGCCAGGTTGTCCCGAACACCGTCTTCAACTTCGGACAACGGCCCAATCCGGCGGTGAAAGACAACCGCTCAACCCAATGAAAAGTGATTCACCCCCAAATTTAAACCAAAAAACAGAGAGAGAGAGAGAGAAAACTATAACCAACGTCGGGTAGATCGGGTAGGGTTTGGGTCTAATCGAAAATGATTCAAACAATTGACCCATTTTACGTCTCCTATGGGTCACGAGAATGTCAATTTTCTTTCATTTGATGGGCTAGAGCTGTAATTTCTTGTTCTCTTTTCCGTGAAATGCAAATTCCCTAACATGCCATAATTTTCTCATTTTTTCTTAACAAGAAAAAGTGCACCAAAAATCTTAAAACTTATCACGAAACTTTCAGTGCAACTGAGTCCCGAAACTTCCAAAAAGTGCAATTAAATCCCAAAACTTATCACTAAAGTGCAATCGAGTCCCAAAACCTTTAAAAAAGTGTAACCGAGTCCTGAAACCTTCAGAAAGTGCAATCAAATCCTAAAACTTATTGAGTTAGCGCAATCAAGTTTTAAAACTAATCAGCATTTTCCGTTTGTTCAGTATGATGTAATTAATGAAAAGACTTCATCGTACCAACTTGACAAGTTTAAGGATTTAATTATACTTTTTGAAGGTTTATCGTATAGCTATCTCTGGTCAAGCTGCCACTCCTCTGCTCAGTGGCAGTGATTTTCGGACCAGAGGATCATTCTACCTTCAGTGGGTGCCATTAAGAAGACAGATTGCATAGGATGCATTTCATTTCCTATCATGGCCGAAATCATTGCATCAGTGATCATAGCCCCTTGTCCCCCACCACCTCTCTCGTCCTCTCACTTTCTATTCTTTGCGCAGAAAGAAGGAGGCCTTTTCCCTCGCCGCGCAAACCATCTCCTCCTTTGCCCTCCTCTCGAGCTCGGCAGCAACCATCCTCCTCCTTTGCCCCTCCTCTCGAGCTCAAGTCATTTGATGATGGCATCACGTATCCCAGAACGAGTATGCAGAGAACAGCAGACGTAGCGTGCACTAGGCACGTATGCGTGCGGCGCGTACCGAAATAAGCCTTAATCAGCAATATATTTTATTTATTTATTTATTAAATTTCGAATTTATTATTTTAAAATAATTATTTTTGTCCTATTGAAGCCGCAATAGAATGTCAATTACTTTTTGATAATTTAATTTCGAAATTTTATTTTCCGACTAACGGTAATTAGGCTCTTTTACAACTTTTTGAAGGTTGTGTCTGTTATGATAAAACTGTCCATTTGAGGACATGAAAAGATATGTCCAAAATTGACAGTTTTCATGCGCAAAGAGTTATGTCCGAATTGCAGCTTTTCGAACATGAATGGGTATATCCGTATTGGCAGTTAGACACCAAGAGGTGTGTTCTATTTGCTTTATATATTGAACAATTCTGTTCAGTTAAAAATAGAACAGAACTTCCTTCATTTTCTTCTTCTTTAAGAGAAAAAACGAGACAATCATTTTCTCAATTGTTTCGCGGAAAGTTTTAGGAGATTTACTGGAATTGTTATCCAGTATTCTCACCGTGACTTTATTGTATCCTGAAGGGAATTTGTCACTGACTTATAGCAACTTCGTGGAGCAAATTAATCTTAAAAGAGAGTGATTACACACCTTAAAGTCTGACTTCATTATTTTTCTCTATTCACAGCTGTATTTTCCCAACAGGACTGCCTGGCCGTCTTTGGGAAACTGTTCGAACACACGACAAGGTCAAAGAGCCCCATCCCTCGTCGGGCTGGAGTTAGGCGTCCTTGTCCTCAAGCTGCCAAAACTGGGGAGGGATAATGATGATTAGCCATCATTTCAAGACCAGCCCCCCCTCCAACACATTCCCCCCCTTGGCCAACGAAACTGATGTGTGGTGTTTGGATGGATGACTGGCGACAACGCCTCTCACGAAGCACTATGGCGATTGGAAAAAAAGCTTGAAATGATTAGTTGACGCCAGCCCGATATTGTCTGAAAAACCTTGGGAGGGAGTTGGCGGCAAAGGTGGCGCGATTGGTGGGTAATCATTGCATCGTTTCGTGTCCCGTTCTCTTTTACCTGCGCCACCTAGAATTCCTTGGATCTAGCAAAGCCTAGCAGCACCTACATAGTTGGATACATTGCTTTGGATTCGTAGGCTCCACGGGATTCAAATGCGGTCTCCTTTTCTCTCTCTATCATATCACATTAGCAGCTGTTTGCGGACATGGATGACCCGATAACGAAAAAGGAGATGAAATGCGACGCTTACTATTTACTACTCTTATCTTGTTAGCAAGAGAAGAGCTTCATGGACGTGCTTTTAGTTGGTGGAGTGATGGAGTGATATCAAGCTAGAACTATGACAGAAGTCTGATCTGTCATGTAGACTCTCTATTGCGTGATTGCTTTGTATCTGTTGACTGTGTATTGACCCCAGATCGAGAATCTTTGTTCTTGAGAGCTTTGTCTGTGTTGTTCCATCTTCGAGACAATTTAAAAGGGTCCCCATATAAATCAAACCCTATTCTTTAACAGAACATCATGCCAGAAAAGGGAGAGACCCACTTAAATCAAGAACAGTTGGCACATGTTTGGCATTGGTTTTGACCTTTTTGTTTCTCTTCCCAGCATGTGGTCTCCGGGTTCTCTTGGCACTGTCATACACCCCCATCGTTATGTAATAGAAACATACGCTTCTTTTGTTGTTTTGTACTGAAAAAGCCCAACGATCTCTTTCAATATCCATCGTCGATTTGATGTACTGTTTATGGCCAAGCATTCCGAATGATATCATAAGTCGAAAGAACATCTGGATCCCTAAGTTTATTACATTTACCACACTTGATGTTTTCTAAGTCACTGCATGCATCTGTTGTGGCCAGACTCGGTATCTATTCGATGCTAGTTCCTTCTACAGGAAAACAAGAACAAGCTTTTGTATGTCCGCATTGAGAATTAAAGGGAAAAGAGAGATTAATCACTTATAATGATTACTTCGGATCAAGGTGAGAAAAGGGAATGCGTTTACAAGCCATCAAATACAAGATCTAGAGCGTACTCGTCCAAATGTTCCAGGAAATCGGGACTATAAAGATTTAGACCATCGTTAAATAACCAAAAGGGATTTTGGAACTCATTGCCCGGAGCAGCCAATTGCTGTGAGGAATCGCACTCGAGCGCTCTCTGAGACGGCTCGTCGTCCCCCGCGATTTTCTGAGCAGTTTCGTTTAAGTGGTCGCCGGAGGGTTGATTCGGGCTCGAGCCCAACGCTACGGCCTGATTCTCCTTCTCCTTTTTTAGGCTGGTTCTCGGACTATCGTCGGCTCTGCCCTTGCCTTTCTTGAACCCGAGCCTCTTGCTCAAATGAGTGTTCCAATGGTTCTTCACTTGATTATCGGTTCTCCCAGGAACTCGCCCCGCAATAAGCGACCATCTGGATAATAAGACGAAGGACAGCGAAAACACGTTTTAGAGTTGTTCCATGTTCTTGTTTTGGTTTTCTTTTCGGGCATGAGCGGTAATCTAAAGTCACATGCAGAAAAGTTCTGAAGTTGTTGCTATCACCGGGTCCTAGAGGATATCTATCACTATATGCTATGCAATCATCATTCATCGCCATGGGCGTACTGTTCTTGATAAAGCCAATTCTCATCAAACAGGGAGATTGGTGAATAAAGTTAAGTTCAGTACATCCAAAAGTGAAATGATTTGAAAGTCACCTTGCACGGCAAGAGGTACCACTAGCATAGCTCCATTACTGTGGCATTATTGACAGCTACATATGTGCATCATTTATGTCTAGAAAGTTTACCAGCAATAATCATAATGAAGGCCAAAAGGATGGGGCAAATCATTGCTTCAACCTTCAAGGACGAATGCATAAGGCTGTGTGATCTTACTGTTCTTGGGTCACGAGTCGGTGTATATCAGAAACATCGTTCAGAACACTGAAAAACAGAAGTAAATGTTTGGAGGAACTAAAATAAACCAGAAGCAATTCTTTGCAAAGGGTCTCGCCATAAGTTAATTAAATTACCACTTAAAGTCTCAAGGAGTGGGAATAATCAAGACAAATATGATTTTCATGTGAAAAACACAGGAAGAGAGAAGAACTGCATACCCACTACCCAGAGATGTATGTCCACTCATTCGGCTTAATCAGCGATATCAATAATGGACGAAAATTACAGGTTCTAAGTTCTAATTGCAGATACATTTCATATCAGAAGAGATCGAGAAGAAGGAGAAATAGAGAGGTGAGAGAGAGAGACCTGTTTCCAAGAAGATTGTGGAGTCTGATGATGAGGTCGTCTTCTTCCTCCGAGAAATCACCTCGCTTCACGTTCGGGCTCAAATAATTCATCCACCTCAACCTGCAGCTCTTGCCACATCTTTTCAGGCCTATACAAAAACAAAAACAAAAACATTATAAGGCACAGACACCAACACATGTTTTTCAGAGTTCTTCAACCGTATCCATAAAACTCATGAAGTTTTGACCAAAAAAGAAGAAGAAATGATTAAATAGTCTAACCTGTCATCTGGGGAATGCGATTCCACCTCCCCTTGCCATGCACACTCACGTAGTCCGCGAGAAGTCTGTCCTCCTCTGCTGTCCACAACCCTTTTTTGTGCTCCTTCTTCTCTCCCTTCATTCTGCTGCCAAGCTTTATGATTTCGATGCTTCTGTGACAGGGAGAGAGGGAGGGAGAAAGAAGGAAAAGGTTTGCTCCTTTTTCTGAATGAGTGTTGAAGGTCTATTGTTGGGAAGTGCAGAAGCAGTGCTTTCTCTGTGTGTGTACATATATACTTGTCAGGGAAGAACAAGATTGAGGGCGTAATTGTTGTGGGTGCCTAGCTACGAGCTAGCAAAGCTAAATGTCATGTGAATAAAAAAATTCACAAGTAGTGCTAGGTATACTAATATCGATCCATAAATAACTGGTAATTAAAGTGATACGACGAGCTGTAATTGAGCATTTATACGAACTCTCGATCCATAAATAACTAATAATTAAAGTGATACGACGAGCTGTAATTGAGCATTTATACGAACTTTTCTCATATTCAAACGCTCAATAATAGTTTGTTATATAACCCAGTGTGTGTTAACTTTCTAAACTGGTTTTTGTCGTAGAACAAAGTTATAATCGAAGTATGAAGGTGCTCGGCTTCTACTAAAGATTAATTTTTATCGAACGATAGACACTTCAAATGGTACGAGAAATCAATGCACTCCATACGTCCGATCAATTAGGATGCAAAAAAAAAAAAACAACTTAATTATGTATTACTTGATTGAATAATGTATTATATGGAAGGGAATAAACACAAGAAAAGTATAATCGAATAAGAAACTTAGCCAACTTAGGAGATCTCATGCACCGAAGAAAATGGTTGGGGGATTTGTTAACATAACAGTTTTTGGGCTACTGTTAAAATAATAGTATGTTCAAAGTCACAATTTCTTGGAGGAGTGGACCCCATAATAATTTTTAATTATTTGTTATTTATTTTTTGTGGCCCAAAATAAACCGTTCTTCTCGTAGAAGGTTAAGAACAGTCACATAAGCATTTCTCAATGGTGGTTAATATCCTAGGATAATCCTGAGTTAGGGCGCGAATGATAACCATTCTGTTTTCCTGTTTTTTCATTTTTTTGTTTTCGGAAACAGGTTTGGAACAGAAATCCGTTTGGTAAAATAATTTATTTTTTTATTTATGGGACAAATTTTGGCCCATAAATAGATTATGAACAAAAATGAGAAGTTAAAATTTTTTATTTTTCTATTTCTAAAACAAAAATAGAAATAACAACTCTTTTTTATTGTTCTCTCTTGCCGCCCACCGCCGCCCACTCGCCACCACTTGTCGACGCTCGCCGGCCGGCTGTCCGCTGCCGTCGCCTTTTGCCGGCCGTCTACCATCGCCTACCGCTAGCCGACCGTTTGCCATCGCCCGTAGCCACCGCCGCTCGCCAGCCGTCCACCGCCACCGTCTTTCGTCTGCCGGCCATCCGCCGCCGCCACCTTTTGCCAGCCATCCGCCTTCGCCTTTCGCCGACTGTCCGCTCGCCACCCCCCATCGCCGCTCGCCCACCACTCGCTGGCCATCCGCCGTCACCCGCCGCCCATCCGCTGTCGCCCATCGCCACCGCCGTTCGCCGGATGTCTGCGGCCATCGCCGCCGCTTATCGGCCGACAGGAATAGAAATTTTGTGTCGTTATCAAACGAATTTCTATTCCGGGAACAGAAATTTCATGTCGTTATCAAACGCTACTTTTTGCTTAGAAACTTGTTCAAGAAAGAAAAATAAATTCTTTAATTTCTAGCCAGAAATAGAGTGAGAAAAGAGAAATATTGTCAATCGCGGTTTCAATGTCGCACACAGAAAATTTAGACGAGGAGGTTGACTTGTCAATACCTGTACATGGCCAAGGGCTGTCGTGTCTCCCGCAGCAGGATGCAGATCAGGACCGAGGGTTTTTTGTTTGATACCATAACGCTTGCATATCATTAAAGGCCATCGGGCCTCTGTGCGACGGTGTCCACACAACAGTATTATCTTTCAAAAACACACGTGAGCTTAACCCCACTTCCTCTGACTCTCTGAGGCATGTGTCCAAAGCTGCTGCTTCTCTTGTTCTCTTGAAAAAAGAAAAGAGTAAAGTCATGGAGATCCAAATCTGATAAAAGAAGACATCTCCCCTTCTCGCCCGATCAGTTCTCCCTTTTACTTTTTGGGGGCGTTGGGTGGTTGTTCTTGGATTTCTTTTTGGCTCAGATGCTTCGAGTTATTTGCCAAAATCTAATTATCGGAGAGTACTTTTCTTGCACAATCTAAACCCTTCGCTATTGATTTGGATAGCTTGTCAAATATTCAAACTCATCATCCATGATGACGAAGGTGGCTTTTGTAACCACGGAGTTACTCAGGCTATGCACCATATAATTCGAAAAATTGTGAACTATTTTGGTCGCGCATCACAAAATAATTTATGGGTTGCTAATGATAAAAGTATTAAACATAAACATTGTTCTTCACACGCCATGATGATGTGGAAAGAGAGTGAAGTGTTGAAGTATAATTATGGATATTCAAGAATTCTCTATTAGAGAATTTTCTTAGAGATATTATTTGATAGTTCATTATTTTCTAAGATAGCTAATTTTTTTGTTAGATTAGATTATTCCTTTCCTATGCATATTGTTCAGGTATAAATACCCTTTTCTAATAAAGTGCAATGCGAAACTAATTGAGTAAATATATCGTTTTTATTGATTCTTTATCTTCTCTCTATTGGGGTGTAGTTCATACTTCCCAGCGACTAGACGGAGTATTGCTCCCCGGTGAGCGAATGGGGGTCGCAGGGTGGCCCCGAGCCGCTAGAGGTCTTTTATAATTTGAGACCGAAAAACGAAAGTTTATTAATGGTTTCCTAATTGAAGTAAGTTTTCTAGAAAGATCTTTCCTATTTTGAATCAAATATTATATATATATAGATGTATATATATTCTCTTTATCTTGTAATTGAGAGATGTAATAGATATATGCGAGGTGCTAATTATAGTCGAATCTAGGATAAAATTTGCGTCTCAAATTTTTCTTCTCGCTTTTACTCTCTATTTTCTTTGTGATTGTGTGGCGAATCGTAACACTCTCATCCTAGAACATTACATGGTACTAGAGCCGCTAAAGAGAAATACCCAAATCAAAACTCTAGTTTTGTTTTTCTTTCTTCTTCTGATCAATCTCAGTCATGGCTAGTGACTTTAGCATCTTCATCTTTGTTAAGGTGTCGAGCTTCATTCTAATCTCTACTCATCGTTATGGGAGTTGCGCCACGCGGTCGTCAGTCACCTCATCTTATTAACTTCCCAATTTTGTCAACACTCAATAATGCTTATCATGGAACGTTATTTAGTGTGGAACTCTCTTTCAATTTCGAGGTTTATTGACGAATGAAGTCACGGTCAAGTATCCAGGTAGTTGTGAGCGCCGGAATCGAGTACATCTCTATTGAGTGGCTAAAGTTGAGCTCGTGGGGTGATGCCGTTAAGTATTTAGGCAACTATGAGCGCCGAAATCAAGCATACCTTCATCGAGCAGTTAAAGTTGGGCCTCGTGGGTTGATGCAATTTAGTTTTCCGCAATTCAAGTTAGGTTTCCACACAGTTCTATCAAGGTTGCATGAGAAAGATACGTTAAACTTTCTTATAATATGTTTCTTCAATGCTTGTCAAATCTGGTGATGATGTAGATTACATTCAATTTGTTGTGTAAGGTTCGGCTTACACCATTGTCATAGTCTTGAATCCGGTTTGATGTATTCACATCCTTTATTTAGTGTAAGGCCCAGTTTATGTGGTGCATGGTCACGGACTTCAAAAGAAAGCTACACCTGTCATATGCAAGTTGGATGCTCCAGCTTGAAGGGAAGTGTTGAAGTATATTTATGGATATTGGAGAATACTTTTAGAGATATTATTAAATATTAGGGATATAAATTGATATTTCGCTATTTTCTAATATAGCTCATTTCAATGTTAGATTAGATCATTTCCTTTCCTATGCAAATTGTTCGGGTTTAAATACCATTCTCTAATAAAGTGTAGTGTAGAGCCAGATGTAGTCTCTCTCCTCTTTTTTGAAAATCCTAGAATATTTACATGAACAGTCATTAGGTCAGTGTCTACATAGGTGCGGGTCACCAAAGCTACCGAGAGTTGAATGGTTCTCTAAATTGTTTCAAAATGTTTTTGATTTACACTTTGTACGATGTTTGTATGGAGTACACTGCACTGCATGGTCCAACGGTCCAACCCTTGTTTTTGGTGTCATCTTATATTCTGTGCATGTCAAGTTACTGTTGCGCTCAAATGGCTAGGCTCTAAGCTTTTTGTGTGCGTGATTCACGTTTTGCAGACCCTCTGTAATGTTGCGACGAGTCGTAGCTTTCTTGAAAGTGATCTCTCTTGGTAAGCTCCCGAAATCTGCAGACATTTCGTTCCCTCTAAAGGGCTCACGAAAATCTCTGTTGTATAGTAAGTTGTCCCTTGAAAATTGGCAAGGGAGAGATTTGTGATAGGATTTGTTTCTTGACCGTCTTCCACTCTGCTGCGATCGTCTTACTTATTAGAGCATTGAATTCCCGCCCTAGATAAGCCTGTGAGACAGTGACAGAGGTCGAGCTGTGGGAGAAGTTCTCGGACAGAATCTTGAATCTTTTCTAGTATTGATTGCAAGATGGCGTGCTTGTTCTTTGCTTTGTCTTGCTCGTGGTTTCGTTGATGCACAATAGCGCAAAGCTCATCGCCTTTTCACCTGTACAATGGAAGTTTGATCACAATGAAAATGGTTTCGTTACTATTTCAATAATGACCAAGCTCCTACTTTTAGGGACAGTTTCGTTCCGATACAATGAAGGCCGTCCGCACAATTACAACTCACTTGTCAGTCTCGACGATACATAAAACCTCTTGGTCTGATGCACTTTATAAGGGAACAGGAATTGCGAGGGCCGTCCCCGCGGTGGTCTTTTAAGGACAACGAATGTCATCTTTTCGTTATACCCTAGATAAGAGCCATGGACAATTGGACATTACTAATTAACACATTTAGATGAGTAGAATGACATTCGCAAAAATTTGAAACATGACATATATGTAAAATGTCAAGTAGACAAACCTCCTCTCTATCCATACATCAGCTTTTATGTCATTTAATTTATATAGGATTGTGGAACGTGTCACTTAAAATCAAACGTGAACTAGACAAATGTCAAGATCCTATGCATAGGGCATTGGCTTAAAACACAATAAAGAGGTAGAGGATTCTTTGTTCCATAGTGGGTCTCAATATACATCTTGTTTGATGAATTACGACATGTTCCTACACGGATATACAACAACTTGTTGTACATGAGAGTTAATACATTTGATGCCAAGTTGATTGATATCAATCAATGGCTAAGAAGTCCAAAAACCCAAATGGACAAACATCCAAATCACGCCACCTACTTTATCCCTAGGTGTGGAGACAGCATCATTAGTCAATGACAAGCAATAAATAATTTACAATATCTAATCCATGAAAAATGCCAAAATGGAAAAAGGCAGGCAGAAATTCATAGGTTTAGAGGTAGATTCCGGGTGCATAAATTAATCCCCATTTTTCTACCATAGTCCTAAATACCGTAGGGATCGGCCATTGAGCCTACAGAATCAGGGAAACAATCATTAAAAATGGCTCGAAATAGGGATATTACCATGAGAAAACTCAAATTCAAAACTTGTTAATATATTCAGTTGGACTCATCTTCACACAAAAGTTTAGACTACACCAAATCGGTTCTCCGACGTCGGGTTTTTTTCAACACAACTCACACGTGCGTCTTGACACGATGAATAAAACTAAGTAGAAGCTTGGAAAAACTCATTTACAGTGTGCACTACTAGTCAAATCATTTCACATGCAAATCAAAATCCCTCACGCTGAGGAACCGTTCAAAATGTGATCACGAGTCCTAAACAGGCAAACAGTAGTAGACTTGAATACGAACGAGGGATACAGTGGCCCTAGTTGGTCGATGAATCTGAAAGGACACACCTACATCGCATTATAGGGGGGATGCATTTAATGCAATGCAATAGCTCCAAAAGGGAGCCAGGACAACGAGCTTTAATGCGATGCAATGGCTCCAGGAGGCGGGACAACAATTTACTAGTTCCCGAGCAACGGGACTTTGCTTGAGTTAGATTCCCTTGTTTGCATTCCCATTTTCTGTTCAAGTTTTTGAAACAGGAGAGTGAGTGAGCACTGAGCAGAGCCCGGAAGAGCAGGTGGGTGCCTGCGATTCATCGTACTTCATCGAGACACGAGAATATTGGCTACAGTGATTGATCAGCACAGAGAGCGCGAGCGAAGACGCATTCAATTTGACTAAAACCTTTCGATCAGTATATTACAGACCACGGGACTCGTCCATATCCCGACCTGTTCCAGGGACTGTGATTGTGTGCGTGTTTGTGTGGCAATTAAGGGCAACCCGGTTCAATCTTGTACTGTGTTTGGAGGAGGATGTTGTATCTTTCGTGAGCGCGTAACTAGTTCCCGCCGGGTTTTTGACAGTCCTCCATCTCTATGTCGATTGAGCAATTGTCAAAGTAAACAGATCGTATGGTTAGAGATGGCCCCAAAAAATGTGGACTTTGAACTCGACCTCATTTGATAACCTCTCCGTCTTCTGTACTTAAAAGGTTTATCTTTCCTACAGTCTATCTAGATTTTTTTTGGGTGCCTTTGCTCAATGCAAACCGTCCACGTCTGGTTTCTCAAGGGTTTGTAGATATGGAAGGAATGGAAGCACGTAACTCTGGAATGTAAAACCCCATGAATTCAAAACTCTGCAAAGCACACTAACATTAGAGAGAGAGAGAGAGAGAGAGAGAGAGAGAGAGAGAGAGAGAGAGCACATATAAATTACCAACACCGAGACTGAGAAAGACCACCTCGGGTGGTTGTTGAAAGCAGCTGAAGGGGTTGTTCAAAGCTGCAAATAGTCTCCACAAGACAGAGAACAACCACCTCGGGTGGTTGTTGAGAGCAGCTGAAGTGGTTGGATACTAGGTTGTTGATGGCGATGAACGCGACTCATTGCCATGGATAGTCGTGGTGGCAAACAGCAAGCAATGTCTTCATGAGATTTAAACACAACTCATCTGTCTTTTCTCATATCTAACGCATTTCACAGACTATATCCACAAATCGCGTTCTAAAATTGCACCAAACAGGGAAAGAAAACTGTCAAATTGGCCCCATCTATAAATCAAAGGTTAATGAATTTCACTACAAGTTCCTGCACGAGCGTAAATAGCTGGATTGCAATGGCAATCTTCACCTTGTACCTTCATTTGCACTCTCTATCAGCTCGCGAGGACATACACGGGCTCTCGCATCAGGAAGATTAAAACTTTCAAACCATTATCATTGAGGGAGAAAAAGAACGTTTTTCATGACATTGTATCCGTGAAGATGATTTATCTGGCGACAAAGAGATAATATTACCTTGGCAAGGCAGGGATAAAACAACTTGTATGAATAAAAAACAGATCATTGAATTCTATCGAGCAGCTTCTGGACCATAATTCTCTGCTGCACCCCACTCAAGGACTCCGACTTCATAATCGCATTCGAAACAACAATTATGGTAGATGGAGATGCCGCATTTACCTGAAATTTAATAATAACTTTTAACAAATGAGATTTGTCATCGGGACCAACTATAGAGAGTAAAAGGTTGCTGTTCAGCAGGCGACAATAAATTATACACAGAAAAGAGTTATGGAATTATGATTTGCAGAGATGGTATCGATGTCCCAATCATGCATAAAGCAACATACCCAGACCCGGCCATTCAAGCCAACTGCTATCTCGAAAGATAACTTCTTGCCAAATTCCTCAAGTACTGGACAGGTCGGCGAACTGAGCAGCCTAGAAAAGGAAAATAGAAATGGAGGTAAATGACCACTAGAATAGAGAGATATTGTTCGTGTCTTAAACTTGTGTGAGTGCCCAACAAGTAGGATGGAAGAGCAAATTACATCCTTGATAGACCAGTTGAACACTCAAACGAGTAACCATCTTTCAGGGGTCCAAATTCTGCTGCTTTCCCGCTTGCTAATTGATAAAACAAAATCATAACTCAGCGAGCGTGCATATATCTGAAACACTAATTAGGGACAAGTGAAATTGCACAGATGACATGAATGCACTGCAGATTCAAGCAAACTCACCATCAGTACATGAAAGCTCCGGATTAGTACCAGGATTTGCTTTTGCAACCCGCGCATAAAGCAAAGTCCCTTGCTACAGCATACAAAACATAGGTTAGGCATGCGAATGCTATCATGGATATATAAGTCTCATAACTGTAAACAATTCAAGCTTAGTCATAATTCATCATACAACCACCATATCCTTCACATACATCATTTCTTGATAAAGTATTCACTTCCGCAGTTTTATAAGCAATTTACTTGCAGGAAAAATGCTGCATCTATCAATATGAGCATAGTAACAGACAAATAATAACATCCATGAACAAAAAATTTGATGACCAGCACGTACAAGGCTATAATCGTTACTTCTAACAATAGAGCTCGGATCTTTATCTGGCCAAGAAAAAGGGAATCTGCTATAGCCTATAACCATAGATTTCTTAATCATGAATCTCGAATTAATCATGGCGTACACATTCTTTAGTGATTATTATTGCTTCCTCCACTTTCTAGACCATGATGTGCTTGATAAGCCAGATTCCATGATCATGTTATGATTCTTATCTTTGTCAGAAGATTCGAATGCATGCTCAACCAGCCATTACCATTGAGCATATAATGCAGCTGAATCTCCATGAAACAGAGCAGTACATTTAGAGAGAAGCCCATTGATATTAAAATTTCTCCGTTAAGGATTTTTACAGAACTACTTAATGCATCCACAAAAATCAAAAGGAACACCATGTACCTCAAACTTCGGTATGTTTCTTCTAGTTCCTCCTTCGAAGGCAAGCACAGGCAAAAAGGCCAATGCCGGTCCTTTGATGTCAACAAGGAAGTTCTGTAATTATATGAAAATTAGGGTAAGAAGGTTAAAGATAAATGTGATAACAACAATAAATATCAGCCATCCATGGCGAGCTAAGTTGACATCATTTCATATTGGACAAATAATAACATAATAAGCAAGAGAGACGTCGACACTGAACCAGCAGATTAGAAAGCAGAACATGAACAGAGGCATTATGACTAACTAAGAATCTCTGAAACATTAACAGGGACACCTCATTATCCTTACAAACCCATCGGCAACATATATATTCCTACGAACAATGCAATACACACTGAATGAGATCATACATCGATCTAAATTGCTTCTCATTGCCTCATTGATCTTATAGTAGCAGAGATAATTGTTTGCCATTGCCATATTGGTCCTTGTGCATGTAATCCAACTCTCCTGCTATCATTTTAATTTATAAGGGTAATATTTAGTTTAATGTCTCCGAATGTACTGGCTTCTCTTTCAGACATTACTCTTTCCTTCACATTCTTGCAGTTCAGAATCCAACTCTGCCAAGAAAGGTAATCACTGGTGCTGCAGGGTAACTTTGAACAAGTTCAGATCATGTTCAATCTTTTTATTTTGCTTTGATAGGTGAGACCTTATTCAATCTGTTCTAAATTGAAGGTAATCAGACTGACCTATAAGCCAGGTACTAGTAAACTAAATAACAGCTTGTTTATTGTCTATAGTCTACTCTAGGGGGAATCCATGACAGTTTCAGCAAGGCTAGAAGAAGTCCTTGAATCTGGCCACCTGATAAGAAAATTCCGTGCCATCTCACATAGCTTCGCATTCCAACATACCTTGCTTCCCACCGCATTACTCTACTTTACATGACTTCATTTCAAAGGGGAAAAAAAGAGAGAAAAGCAAATGCACATGTGCCTCACCCATACATTTCCTCACCATAGATATCGCTACTCTCTCAAATAAATGACTGAGGAAGATTCTTCGCTTCAAATAAGACATGTTATCAACAGCGTATGGCAGTTAAAACATCTCTAGTACAAGAATAGATCAAGTCATGACAAATTCAGAGGCAACTTACATCTGCTTTAGTGTCGACCACGATTCCAAGGACAGTGTCTTCCACACAAGGTACATACTGCAGAGAACAATAAATTTTTTTCAAAATGCTACATAACCATGTACAACTCCTCAATTTCCAAAAAACCTAAAGCATTTAAACCTCTATGATGCAGACTGCCAGGAATTTTGGTTTCCTTGTTCAACAATTAAAATTACTCAAGCAGTAGAACTTCATGCTGAGAATTAAAATACCTTGGATTTATTTATGCCTATTTCCGTCTGGAGGGTACTAGTTAGACCACTCGGACTGTAAAGATCAATTCAAATACTTAAACACTGCAATGTTCTGAGAAGTTTTTAGGCCCTAATTCAGTTTAGCCGCATCTGAACAGCATTGCGCCTAAAAAGTCAGGTTTCCAATCCATATATATCCCAACTTCGACAACTAATTATTTCAAATAAAATGAAAAGTGCCTTAAGAACTTAAGATCCATTGGAAGAGACAGACCAATAGCCAGTGGCAGCACAATTCCAACATATAGTTAACCACAGACCCAATTATTATGGAAGAATACAAAGAAAGTCCATCAACACGATAAGCTAGTCCCTTTTATATTGTTCCCCAAATATGCTTCACTTTTCAAATATCAAATAAACTGTCCATATTTCAGTCCTGAAACCATATTTGTGTCCCTTCTAGATGAGCTCCAGTCTAATACTAAATCCAAGTAAAGTTATGTTAAAATCTCTATCCTGGTGATAACATCTACATAGGTCTTCCCTCGTGAGGAGAAGTTTCAAGTGCTCTAGGAGCACACATGACTGTCCACCCAACCAATCATGGAGCAACAAGAGTTGTCAAATTATTTTTCTATGGAGAAAAATAAGCCAGTATATAACACGTGGTGCAGTGTGATCAGTTGGGTAGGTAGCCACTAGTTGTCCTGGAGTACCTTTAAGACACATTCAAAAAAACCTTCCTATGCTAATGAAGATAAACCAAAAGACATAACAAAAGCCTGGTCAACAAAAAACAATCGGTCATCTTTTCCTGGGGTGGCTGTTGAATTGTTGCTCAGCGAAGCGCAGACAGGACACCTCCTGAGTACTAAAGCACAATGCGACAGTTGCTCTTTATCCCCTTGTCAAGAGCAAACTGGATAAAATACTCACCCTCTTTTGAGAGCTTTCAACCCAGTATTTATTTGGTTTCGAGAATCTTAGTTTCCCAGCCTTCATGACTGTAATAAAGTCAGATTCCTGTAAAAACAACGAGTGCCCAAATAAGAATGAATGCTATTCTCCTTCAATAAGAAAAAGAACAACCAACCATCTTCAATATTTTACTTAAGGAAATAAGACCTCTAAGAAGAAGTTTCTTTTCTACACTATCATAACTGGAAGTTGGACTTGAAAGAGCCAATCCTCTATAGGGAAAACCATTTTGACTGTCACTGGAAATATAAGGCATAAGCAATTTCGGTTTTCGGAATAAAGTATTCACAGCTATAAAGACCTGAAATTCGCAAAATCATCATGTCCCAGTGTAATGCTTGTGGAATTTTTAATGAAATATGTATCGCAAATCCCCTCATCCTAGATGTAAAGGCCACTCAATACACAATCGTGTCCCTCAAAACGATCAGACAATGCCTTTGGGAAAATAAAAAACCTCCGAGGTAGAAACCTATGTGCATCAATCTCTAGCTTGGACAGTGCTCATTGATAGCCAAATTGTATAAGCCAAATACAGGACAATGCAAATGATTCAAAAATCAATTTTTCTTACAGAAATACGTTAGTAAATCTAAACCAACGTGAACCGTGTCGAGAAAACTGCAATAGAGAAAATGAAAGAGCGAGGAGAAAACATAAAAACAAGAACAATGCAATGACATTCCCCGCTTTCTGATGGAATCACTTCAGTGGCCAAATCAATTTCATTCCATCGTCTTGACAATCTTTGTCACAATAGTTTCGCAGAACTAACATATAAAAGGGGAACTAAATTTGGCATTATATCAGGAAAGAAAGGAAAAACCTGACGAAGGCCGCCACCGATCTTAACAGTCTGATTAGAAATTTTCGACAGATCAAGAACCAAGTCTCCCGGTACCTAAGCCCAATGCATCAATGCACATGCCATAAGTCATCAAGTAGTAAGAAACGCTATCAAATGGGGAGGAACAAATCAGAGAGGAAGCACTCACAACTTGGCGATCAACAAAACTTGATGCTTTATTTTCCATACTGGATTGGCTGCACATCAACGAAATAACAAAGCACTCAGCCGGTCAAAGCTCGCCCATTCAAGACACGACACTCTCCAACAATTTACCCAACTGGCCATGAAAAAGAGAAGCTAATGGTCCCGAGGGGGGAAGAATCAAGAAAAGGGTCTGAGAAGAAAGAACTCACAAGTCGATGCCTTTCGAATTCAGGGGCTTCCTTTCTTTGGTGGGTGCTCTCTCACTTGGATTTTCCTGAACCGCAGAGGGCAGAATCCCATGAAAGTTCCGACCTTGAACAAGAAATCGGACTCAGACGCGAGAATCAGCAGCAAAGGGCGAAACTTTTTGCGGGGGTTTCGGTCGGAGAACAGAGAGACTTCTTTCGAAGCGCGAGGTTTTGTGTTCTGCTCTCGTTTAGTCATGTCGTTTCGGACCGACGAGGGTTTAAAATAATCTCCTCGCGATGATGGGAAATTTTTTGGGAAAATACCACCAAAATCTCCAAATTATGTTACTCGTAACAAATTTACCCTGAACTTTTTTTTATGACGCGAAAAATCTTAAATTATGCCATTTGTGATAAATTTATCCTGAACTTTTTTTTTTACATGAAAAACCCAAACTATGCCACATGTGACACAATACTTTGGCCCATAGATATTTTCATCTTTTTTCCTTTTTTTCTGTTTTTTTTTCTTTTTTTATCTCTTCCTTCGCCATGCGGAGAAGCGGAGGGATCCTGAGGCTCTTCCTCCGCCGGCCGAAGGGCAGGAGCTACCTTCCGATCGGGCGACTCGCCATGGCTGGCGGAGGGAAAAGAGAAAAAAAGAAAAAAAATAGAAAAAGGAAAAGTGGTATTTTCCCAAATAATTTTTTTAAAATTTCGTACAAAAGGATAACAAATTACTTATAAAAAAAACCAAGTTCTCAATTTGAGCACACTTAAATATTTTTTTTGTTTCCATTTTATGAGTAATTAAATTATTTATTTTATTTTTAATTTTTTTAAATGTTTCTTGATTAAAAGCATCGTTTAGTTTACGCCTGATTTAAAAAATTTATGTAATTTCATCTCCATTAAAAAATATATTTATCATGTCTAGCTACATTTTTTATGTTTTATTACTCCATAATACCTTTCGCTCGTGAACTATATATTTAAAATAAAATCAATTAATTCGAATAAACAAAAGAAATATTATAATATGAAAACTTAAATATAAAAAAGTTTCATCATGAACATATTTAAACTGCAATTGTTGGGAGTTTTAGTGTAATACGTATTAAGACTTAAATAAATTTATATAGTTTGCTAATAGATTATCGATTTTAGGTGGGTAAGTTCCAAACTCGAACATGAAATCTACTTGTTAGAACCGGTTCCCAATTTTTTGAAATTGGAACCTACCTTATTTTTCATGGAACCGATCAACATATCCTATTTGTCTGATCCAATTCTAGGGTCTACCCGAGAACTAGTTTTTTTTTTTTTTTTGCTTCATTATTTTAAGGGAAAATACCACAAAAAGCCCCAAACTATGCTACTTGTGACAAATTTACCCCAAACTTTTTTTTGTGACACGAAAACCCCAAACTATGCCACTTGTGATAAATTTACCCGAACTTTTTTTTTGTGACACGAAATCGGCGGAGGGAAGAGAGAGAAGAAAAGAAAAAAAAGGAAAAAAAAATAGAAAAAGGAAAAAGACGAAAATGTCCATGGGCCAAAGTATTGTGAGGTAAATATGCCGCAAGTGGCATAGTTTGGCATAGTTTGGGGTTTTTAGTAGTATTTTCCCTTATTTTAAAAAATCAAGACAAATAGCTGTTACAGTAAAATAGTAAGAGTAATAAAACAGATTAAAGTAAATGTTGATACAAAACACATAGAAATATAAAGCAATAAGGAAGTTAAGCTCGTTTTAAAAAGATAAATAATCTTTTTCTAACTTTATAAAACGAATTCTAACTGCTTTCGGATGGGTGGGTAGATAGGTTTGCACATGGAATCTGAAATCTACTTGCATATTACCGATTCCAAAAATTTGGAACCGAGAATTGGACCTATTTCCATGGGCGATCGGTCAAATTCCCGGGTATTGCACAACCCTACCTCAACTTTGCCCACGACGGCAAGTTTGAGACTTGACCTCTAGCAACCTACCAAAGGAAGAATGGAAGAAAAGAAAAAGAAAAAGAAAGAGAAAGAAAAGAAAAAAAATAAATAATTTAAATAATATTAAAAATTATTCATGTCAGTATTGGCAGTGCCACATAAAATGACTAACGTTTATATCAGCGATTTTCAGCTAAAATTGACCGAATAAGCTGAATTGATACAAATGCAAAATGTTCGGTATCAATTGACAAAAAAAAAATTATGATTGAATTGATACAATTGTAATAGATCTAGACTTTTTTTGGTAAGTCTACCCACTATCTTACTAGCGAGACAACAGATTCATCGACTTCCCCATGGAAACACCACACATAACCTATTTTGACACAACTTGCCCATCTCCAAGCCAAAACATAGAAAAAAAGCTGATTTGAGATTTGATACCATAAGAGAGTTCACATGCTGAACATCGCAGATTCCACCACACCTGCAATGCTTTTGGGTTATTCCCCGTCACAAAGTCGCTACTCATCACAGATGCAAACACTCTCCGTCCCACATTCTCTTGATCCAACAATTCAACCTCCAAAGAGAAGAGTGCTTGCTCAATGACTTCAGAGCCGAACCAGTTCCAAAAAAATCAAAATGATGGTACAGAAAGGTATCTTCAACATTGAAAAGGCCAGCATGATTTGAGCTTGACCGTCCACCAGCACCCACTCTTCCACGATTCTATATAAAGCATTCAAATCGGGGGCCCAAGCAACTTGAATGGATGAACACAATCATTATTGAAATCGTGTATTATTTGATTGTTACGTACATATAACCCAGCATGAATAGACCTTATCGACATCCGTTCGGATCTTATAATTGACCATCCAACTGCATCTATAAATAACAGTACTGTTGCCGTGATCAAGCAACCCTTCATCATTTCATCGAACGATCAACACATATCTGAACATCAATTACAGAGGTCCAGAGAAGGGACCGAGGATACATAATGGACACGGCAGTTAAAAGCATTAAGAGAAGGAAAAAGAACGCACAAACTGCCGACATCCATATGATGCAGCTATTGATGTATCATATACCTTTGGGATAAAACTCATCCCAGTACAACAATGTGAGGGAAACTGGGAATAAATATCCTCAAACCTGTTGAATAAATTACGACAAAGTAACCGATTTCTTCCAGAAGGTAATACAATCATTGTAACAATATAAACAAACAAATGGAAAGGAACTCCCGCCCTGTATTGCATGTGCCAGAAAAGATTATTACACCAACACCAATGGCCTCCTGTTCATCTCTTTTTGTTCACCAACTCTTTCTCTGTTTCTTTAAGTAAGACCTATGATACATATGTTCATTCTGCATCGGTGACCATCGCTGTCATACCTTAATGCCATTGCTATTTACATTCTGAGCATTAGCATCAAGAAGGTTCTCCAAGGATCTGCCTTTTCTGCTCCGAACCCTGCCCGCTTCTTTCAGTAACTCGGCCAACCTCCTCTTCTCATCATCAACATCAGGGTTCGCTGTCCCGAGCTTTTCTTCTCTCATCTCAACAACATACTCCAGGATCTTTATCGCGTCATCCAACCTATTGTCGTTCAAAAAGGATCAGTGAGAAAACATAAACCATGAATGGTTGGGACTCTTCTTTCTACACACAAAATTGCAGATCCTACAAACTCAAAACTTCCTAGCCACGAGCGTACACATAAAAGATATTCTATCTTATGGATGTTGCTCGGATGGGATGCTTAATGCCATATTGTAGCAACAAATCTATCACTGCCTAATTAGGCACACCCCTGATGCAAGTTCACTCAATAAGATGGCAAATCTTTTGATACACTTAAATGCAGAACCACATCAGATTTTATCTCATAAAAGAGGGAGGCAAAGAGAAGAAAGAAGAAGAAAAAGGTAAAGAGTGGGAACCTGCCGATTGCATCATAAGTGCCCGCAAGATTGCTATACACACCGAGCGTATCAGGATGATAAGGCCCGTATTCTTCTTCTAAAATGTTCTTGGCTTCTTCGAACAATTCGGCAGCCTCATTTATTGCATAACGCTGCACACAAGCCAGCCCCATCTGATTAAGAGCAATACCAAAAAAGGCAGACTTCCTCTCCCCGCTTGCACGAAGTTTCATTATGGCGTTGTTAAATGATGCGTACGAATCAGAATAATTCCCCAGCATGTAATACATGACCCCCATCTGGGCTTCAATCCCAGCTACTGTGCTTTGCTGACCCGGGGCATCATTATAGATCTTAAGTGCCTTCTCAAGCAATTTAATTGCTTCCTCCAATTCGTTCATTGACTCATATATGGCAGATACATCAGTGAGACCAGTAGCAAATTCCTCAGGAGGTATCCCGTGCACAGGCTTCTCGTAAATCCTTAGAGCATTTTCACAGTATGACTTTGCTTCTCTAAACTTCCCCGTCTTGTTATATAACTCAGCCAAACGAACAAACACCGAAGCTACAGAAGGATGGTTCTCTCCTTTGGCGGTCTTGAAAACTGTCAGAGCTTTCTGATAAGCAAACACAGCCTCATCATATCTAGACAGAGACAAGTACGAGTCACCAATACTGACATCAACAGAAGCCACCTCCACTTCCTGGCCATTTGCGACCATGGCCATGCTAGCTAACACCAGATGTTCAAGAGCAGCTTCATGATCCCCCTTGGTTTCACATATGAGGCCCATAAGCCTCCGATCTGCCGCTTCCTCGAGAGAAGCAGGGGAACCATTCTCGCGATGAAAGTCGAGGGCCATCTGACAAAACTGCTGAGCCTCATCAAACTGCAACGCTTGAACATGAGCTTCGGCCAGATACCGACAAGTCTCGCCAACTCTAAGATCCCCTTCACCCAGCACCTGTTTCTGGACCTCCAACCCCGTCGTATAGCACCTTATTGAATTCTCAAGCTGCCCCAACATTGCATAGGTATCACCCAGCTGCATGTGGCCTGCGAACTTTGCAAGAGCATGGTCTTGACCTTCCTCAACAACAGGTATCTCAATTGCCTGCTCAAGAACAGGAATCGCCTCACTGTACTGGCCTAAGCTGCAGTATATTGCGGCAGTAACATGTAAACACATAACCAGCTCTAAGCTGGGTTTGCCATTTGCACATAATTCAAATGACTTTGCTGCTCGGAGTGCCAACTCGAGAGCTTTCTGGGGATTATCCCCAGAAGAAACCAAATCCCTTGCTTGCTTCAGCAAAAATGGCCCTAAATCAGGATTACCCAATCCAGATTCAGATGAATTTGAAGTTCCATTCTGCACCTTTGGCCCCACTGGAGATAGATTCTTTTGCTTCTTCCCAGAGGCAACATTTGCATTTGGTTTTTTCGCGTTCTTGTCATTCCTTCTATCAATAGGAGGTTTCTCAGAAGGACTCTTGGTCTTAGGAGATGGTCTCGATGTCGCTTCTGATTCCATCCGAGACTGAGAAGCTTTCTTGGATTGTCCAGAAGAAAGGGATTTCGTACTTGGGGATCCGGCCTTCTCGAGCTTCCCTGACTTCTTACTGGAAGCCGGACTATCCTTCTTGGAAGCGGCATCGCTGTGATTGTCGTCCGCCGGTTTCTCGACCTCGTCCTCTTCCATTATCTCCACCTCCCTCATTTCACCACCAACAAGATGGCGCAGCTCCGAGTCGATCCTAGACTCATCCCCCTCGGACTCAAAGCTCTGTCTAGAAGGAGACTGATCAGAACTCTGCATTTCATACACGTTTGCATAAAGCTTCTCGATGGAGGTGTCCACCACTCCGTCAACGGGGATCTCAAGACGGGCACCGTGATGGCTTTGCTGACTGACGGTGCTCTTTGGGGATGTATTAGCGACCGGACTTTCCTTATAAGGTGCGGAGTTTCCGTTATCAAGTTCGCTCACTACTTCTTCTCCGCTGGTTCCATCCAATACAATTCCAGGCATCCTCGGGCTCCGAATTTAGACTAAATAAATTATCTGCAAACGGTCATTTCACAATGAAACAGTGATTCGCGGTCCAAACTACCAAGATCAAGAACACAGGAATTAACTCAAACAGTTGCCCAATCTAACGGTAACAAGAATGTCACATCTGTAACAAAAGCTTCGATCTTCACAATCTTATAACCGCTCAAGAGCTTTCCCAAGTTTCTTTCCCCTCCGATTATCAAACAAGTAAACGCAAACGCAAAAGCAAAAGCAGTAATCGATGACACACTAGATCTTTGCAAATCAACCGCATCGAATCTTACCCATATCAAGAACTGTCTCATGTTCTTCACAAAACATGCCCAGAAACGAGACAAGCGAATAACGAGCAGCGCCCGAGAAATCAACCGAGAACAACAAATCAAGCAATTGGGTCCCTGAAGATGATCCCACTACAGATAAAGGAGACAAGGTCCCGACTGGAACCACAGGAAAAACCCACCGAAACTCCAGAAGACATACCTTTGAATGACCAGACCTAAACGAATGTGTTTCTCTCGAGTCCTTTCTATGGAGACACCCAATCCAATACAGGGGAATATATACACGGGCCAATGAACATGAGGAACCCAGAAAAATTATCTCCTTCACAGAGACAAAAACGAGCACAAGAAACCAAAAGCCACGAAATTTATTCGTTTTTTTTTGGTGGGGTGTCCGTGTTTTCAACTGTGCATATATAAAAATAATCGAAAAAGCTGTGGAAGATGACAGAGGGAGAGAGAGACAGAGGGGATTGGAACTGCAAAGGGGTAGGGGCAGTTTGGGAAATCTTGGACAGTGGGAAGAGGGAGAGCAACAACAACAACAACAAAAGGTGTGTTTTTTTTTTCGATTTAGTTTTAATGAGAAATTTCGACAGAGGTGGAATGTCAGAGGAAAGAAGAAGACGACTTCTCGCCCCACCCCCACCCTTACCACCTCTCCTTCCTCTTCCTCTTCCTCTTCTTCTTCCTCCTCCCAATCCAATCGTGACCGGAGCAAGAAAAGGGCCTGCAACTGCCGACCTGCTTTCTTGTCCTTTCTTGTTTCTTTGGTCATGGGGGGTGTGCCACGTGGCGCGCCTCGTTTCTTGCTAATCTTGGAGGACGGGACGGTTATGCCGCTGCATGAATTATATATTAAATTCACAAATTTACCGCATGCATACAAATTTTTAATTTTTTTATGATAAAAAATTAATTTAAAGTAAATTTATCACGAGGTAATATAATTTTATCATCGTATGTTAAAAAAGTGAATACAATTCTCAATGTCCTTCGATATGGGTTAAAGATTACCCTTTTTTTTGAATTTTAAATTCTTATCGAGTATCTTTTTCTTTGAAGCTTGGCCGCAAGAGTTGAATTCGTTTAGAATGTAAAAAGCAATTATTAAAAGAAAAATATTTTATAGTTTATAATGTGCAGAAATTCTTTTCAAATTTTTTACCACGAGTCATTGCGTAAGGTCATCGATGATTCTATTTCTTTGCTCCGTGTAAGGACTTTTACTAATCTATATCTTTTTCTGATTCGTGTGTACGTTCGAAAGAGATCTTTTACTTCGTTGCTTCTCGTAAGGATCACCACTAATTGATTTTCTAACATGTACATGTCACGAGCCGGCAGTTTCTTGGCCACATACCAGCCCTCGTTATGTAATTGTTCCAAATAACAATATGACGAACAGTTTTTTTGTATCGAATCGTACCACGTCCAATTTAACTCAGACATTTAGTCCATCAAGCGATACACACAGAATACTTTAGGCACCACAATTGGTTTCGGCCTATTATAGCCTCATCAGGAGAGGGACATCAGCTCACGATCAGTTTGTGCACAGAAGGTTAACCTCGCCTCCAGAGCTCATAAGAGTATGTTTGTTCTATCCTAAAACTCCCAACACCAACTATCTCGACACTACTCCCACAACCTAGTTGTATTAATCCCTTCCATTCTGTATTACTCACTTTTCACTCGATAACCCCAAACTCCACTCACAAGGGTATAGAAGTACGTGATAATCACAGTCCGTGACATATGCACATTAGAAAAGATCTTTGAATTTAAAAAACTTTCAATGGACATTCGATGAGCGGATTAGACATATTACGGATCTAATACATTCTAATCTGTCTAGTATATTACAGTAAAATAGACTTTGGGACATCGAATACATTTAATTTTTATGAGAGGATCTTTTCTATTAATAAATAAAATTATAAAAAGTTTATGAGTGGTAAAACACAATTTGGCGCATTTAACGCATTTGATTTTAATGAGAGGAGCCTTTCTTTTACAAATAAAAAGTTAAGATGTATCTTCAAAGTTTCAATCTAATTGCATTCATCTTGCCGTATTATGAATATTTAGTCGTAAAGAAAAATAATTCAAAAAAATATACAAATTTGTCACATTTAACGACACCGAATAAAGCGGTCCATAATGTGAATCGCCCGGAATTTTCAAATCCGAAGTACTATCTAAGGGAAAAATGGAGGGGTAGCGATCTTTTAAATTTCCTATAATTTTACCAACGAGACGCCGCGCACGACACCGGACGACGGTATCAATAGCCCTATTCACGAATCGAATGTGAGTGTTAAGGAACTCGATAGTGGGGGTCTTTGTTGTCGAAATGATTGTGTTATTGGTGAAATGTTGGAGTTAATCTAGACAGAGGGTCGGGGTCATGGAAACCTTACTTTGCACTCTCCTAAACTTGGTCTCTAAGCTCGTCATTTGTTGGTTTTGGATCTTGGACTTTTGGCGTACATGTAAACACGATCCCATCACTTTGGCACAAAGCTGTACCTCGTATAGATGTTCCGAAGAACGAGTTAACTCGGACCGCCATGATCGGGAGATTCAGAAGATCGTTAGGGAAGCGCCCGTGGCTTTTCGAAAGAACGAGTTGGCCCGTCGATGTCTTAGTTGGGTTCCCGTCGAATCGTAACTAGGTTTCCATACTCATATCGCCGAGGCCCCGGCAACCGGTGGAGAAAAAAAGACAGATAATAAAATAAGAAATAGAAGAAAAAAATTCAGAAAATTTGTAAAAAAATTATAAAAATCGTCAACGCTAATGCCGGCTAGTGCCAGTTATTCTACATAAGATGGCTGGTGCTGACTGGACTGGTACATCAGTAATTTCTAATCTAAATTAGACTGCATTTTAGGACTACATCGGCCAAATTAAAATATTAAAAATTGGATTAATATGTTTAGGACTTTTCTAACAATTCTCTTCCGAGAGCGACGGGCATTTACATTTCATCGACATCAAAGCAAAGCACACGTGAAGCAACAAGTAGCCCTTGCATGCTAGCATAAGATTTAGCTCCTCTCTCTTATTTTTCTTTTTTCTTTTTACTATCTTATTTTATGATTAATACCACGAAAAACCCCCCAAACTAGTACACTTATGATAAATTTACCCAAAATTAATTTTTTTACTATGAAAAATCCCAAGCTGATACATCTGTGATAATTTTACCCTATATTAGTTTTCGTTAAATTTTACAGTTAAATTTCTGAATTGGATGACATATGACAGTTGACGGGTGTACTAGTTTGGGGTTTTACCCTCCCGTTTGTTACAGGTGTACCATTTTGTGATTTTTTGTAATATCAATCTAATTTAACGGAAGGTAAATTTGTCATAAATATATCATTTTGGGTTTCTGGTGGTTCAAAAATTAGTTTAGGGCAAATCTGTCACGGATGTACTAATTTGAGGTTTTTTATGGTAAAAAAACTAGTTTAAGGTAAATTTGTCACAGGTATACCGGTTTGGAGTTTTTCGCGGTATCAATCTATTATTTTATATTTCCGTGTGGATCCCACGGATAGAGTTTTAATTTGGTTGCCTGATTCATATCTTTATTTTTTATTTTTTATTTCTAATGAATGCAGTGACTAATCTCGAACCCTACACACTTTATAATGGGGTTCGTGACTTTTCGAGATGTGCTCAAGGTTGGCTTGATCTGGTATCCAATGATATTTTGTACTTGTTGAAAATATTATAAGCTTTATAAACTGTTCATGCGGCATGACCTAATTATTGAATATTGGGACCATTTTGAGATTTTCGATTGATCTCACCTCACCATTATCATTCAATTTTTACATGTACTTTGGGCATGGTCCCCGTCTTTGTACATTAACACTAAAGAAAATAAAGTCCTCATTCTGAAGATTTTCATGTACATCCATTAGTAGAGAAAAACGGTCAGCGTCGTGGATAGGTGATAATACAGTAATCGCATTAAATTCGAATCATTATAAATTATGGGTTGTTTTTGTTTGAGCGAAAAAAATTTCCGCGAATTAATTTTCTGGACTTTCACGCGTTTGGTTTGCTGAAAATAATCAAAAACCAACTTATAGTCAAAGTCAGAAAAATGAATACCCTAATCTGAAAAAGGGGAAAACATTTTCCTTTATCGCGAGGTTTTTCCCGAAACACACGCGTCATTCGTGTCAGATCGTGTTGCCATATTGATTTTATACCTATCAAGAGGCGGTATTCCTAAGAACGTTAGGTAATGCAAGTCTGATTCTGGGCTTTCACGCGACGGTTTGGCGACGAATCGACCACGAGACGCGAGACCAAGAACATTGGTAAGACTAATGATGAGCCATCATTTTAGTCCCCTTCAAACTCTCTCTAAACATGCCCTGATAATTTCTGCTGCCGATCCAACTTTTAGCACTTCATGAGGTACGAGTTTTTACTTAAGAGGGGGGGGGCATGATGGAAACCCCATTCGAGGGAACAGAAAGGTAGGTAGGTCAAGTCGAGAAAATTCAAAAGAGGACCGAAAGGTTAGAGAGATCGAGAGACTAAAATCTTCAAAATCACGTTGACGTCACTAATTTGGCATTACTTAAGCGTTGATGATCAGGAATTTTGGTAGGTCAAGAGGTAAGTAGAAAGCCAGCAAGAGAAACTTCAAACCTAGGAGCTCGTACCTTCCCCTGTCCTTGGTGCTTTTGAATGAATGAAGATTGCGTCCTAGGAATGTTTCGAAAGTCCAAGAAGCTCATCGATGTTTTGTTAGCAGCGAGAGACCTGCGGCAACGCTTTTGGGAAAAACCTTTGGATAATACAGATGAATTTTAGGCGAGAGGGTATTTTCAAAATGCAAATGGTGTTTGATAAAGTGTGATTTAAAAATATATTGAGAAGCAATTTCGGTTTAAAATGCCGTTTGGAAAAAAAAAAACTACACTTCGCGAAGAACTTTTGCTAGTAGAAAAAACAAAATCTCGAACCTTTGCCAGCAGAACTCAGGCCGCTCTGGTGGCCAAATCTAGCTGCCAGCCAGCCAGCCTTGCCAGAGGTCGTGCTGCGACCCCAAGCAACGCCACCTCGGGCGACCTCAGGCAAGATTGGCCGGCGGCTTGCCAATGGCCGAGTCCTTCGCCGACGAGGCCACGTAAGTCGAGGACATCTTCGTAATTATGAAAATTCGATGAGGGTAAAGTTGGAAGAAAAAAGTATATACTGGCATTCCGGAAATGCTCGAAGCCGAAAGCACCTTCGGACCTATCTTGGATTATAGGCCATTGGAAATGCAATTGCATCTTTCCATAAACTCTCCCGAAAAAAAAAGTCAAACGATACTTGCATTTGCCCAAGAACGCATCCTACATTCTACGTTTGCTCATTTTTGGGTTTAGGGCCCAAGGACCCTCGTGAATAAAGTGGAAGATACAACAAGATGATTCGGTCCAAAATAAAATTGAACAATTTAAAAAAGAAAATAGAAAAATAAAAAGAAGAAAAGTTGACAGCTGTGGGATTTGAACCCACGCCCTTTCGGACCAGAGCCTAAATCTGGCGCCTTAGACCACTCGGCCAAACTGTCTCCTATATTGACGTGTCGACCACTTTATAACTATAATCCCTAAGATACGAAACAACAAACGACGTCAGCGTCGTACACGACTTCAGTGATCGCACGTTTGTCCGGAGAGCAACGGCAGATTCATGGACAGAGATCAGATAATATAGCCAATATACCGAGCGTAAAATCGACGGTTATGCGCTCCGAGAAGCAGGGTCGATCGCTTCGTCAGCCAAAACCGACGACGTGCTTATCGGTTTTAACATCGGATTACACGCAACTCATGAGATGAAGATCTTCACGGGTCTGGAAGTTAGATGATACAGGTAAAAGATTGTTCTTATTCCCAGGAAGAAAAAGGACGGGCTCCTTATTGATTTCGGTATGCAAAACGAACCAGTATACATGCATAGCCATGTCCAGGTGCTTTTATATAGTACAACTCTACAACATCTACATGCTCCCATTCAACAGCGTAGAAACTAGAAAGGATCGAGTCCCTAGCAATTATTTCTCCCTGTACAAAAATCAAATCATAAGTTATAATTTTTAGATGTCGGGGAAAAACGAATTTCCTTCATATGTATAACTAATTCCAGAAGTAATGGGAGAACAGGCTGTAGCCGGAGCTGAGGGAACTGATGGCGAAAGCCATGAAGGCTAAGAAGGACATGGCGACGGAAGCACTGGCCATGTCCGTGAACTTGTCCCTCCCCCAATTCGCTTTCCAGTCGTCGACGCGGGTCGCCGCAGAAGACGATGCCGATATCAGGAGATACGCCAGGATCTGCAGTGAAATTTTCGGGTCAGGACGTTCCCATCAATCTCCTCATAGGAATAGTTGCTTTTATGCACATCATGTTTAGGGTTAGACACAGAACACCTTGTGCTAACTGGGATTTAGCTGACTGGTGTATAGATTCTTGAGCATGGATCAATATTTGCTTCCCTGCCATGTTGACGATGCAATAAAACTCTCGACTTATCGGGAAAAAAATAAACACATCATGCATATCCCTCCTTTTCTTTTTCCTTCTGGGAACACAGATAGTTTCCTTAGTAGTTTCATCTTTCCAAAGTTAGATTGCGCAAAAGCAATCAAAGAAGCCATAGCCTTGGGATTTGGAAGCTTTAAGGCTGGTCATTAAGGCTGTTATAGGCTTACAGCCAACAACAATATCGAGATTGCCTGGACAAGTAGTCCAAGGAGTGAGATTGGTAAGTGAGGCAACGAGATCTTTGGAATAGAGCAAGGTACATTCTAAGATAGGATTCACAAATTTAGCATATCAAGTGAAGTAGCTGGCTGACTCTTATCGGGTGTTCCATATGACTCGCTTGTTCAAATGACCGCTAATAGTCTACCACATCGTCTTTAGTATATCAATTTTATTGACAATTAATTCTCAGTATACTTACCATTACTCAAGATCTTAGAAGGAACTGAGGGGATCTTAACTCTCTTCTAGTAATTCTCATTCCATCCCATGAATAGTTTCATTCCTAATGTCTCCTGCTGCACCCATTCCTTCTTCAATGGTATTGGCTTAGCCACAAAAGGAGGAAAGTATGAGTCGATGCAGCAGGAAACGGCATCCCTTCCAAGTTCCAATTTTCACCGTATTCTAAGTTCCAATTTTCACCGTATTCTTTACTAATTGATACTGCTGAGCAGCCCCGAAACCATCTCTAAACGATGTTTAGAAGGAAGAGCAATACCCGTGTCTGCCATAATCTCGAGAGAGCAAAAACTATAGGATAACAAAGACACTCTGCAAGATGGCACTCCAAGCTCATGCTCAAATATGAGTAGATACGGTGCAAAAGTCATTTACCAGTGACAAAGACAACAGGAATAAAGACAATTTTATACACCATTTCTCTAGGACAATCGTTATGATTCGTATAGAATGTGGCCGGGCCTGTCAGCATGAACACTCAGAATTCATCCATTTCTACTTGCAGTTAGCGCGGCAATCAATCGAACATCATAATTCAGCAGGCAGAAATGACACTATACATGGAAAATACTTGCCTGATCCATGAAGAAATTGAAGTGATACTGGAATTGGTGCTGGATGACGTGCCTGCCCTTGCTCAAGTGGAAGGCCAGATCAGAAGCTTGAAAGCCAGCATAGACAAAAGCGATGACATTCACCGACAAGCAATACCTGCCATCGAACCAGCTCACACAGCTTTAGCTAACAATGGAAAGCAGAGCACGCCACTACAAGAAGAGGGAATCAGAAACGCACGCGCCCTTCCCACCTGTACTCCTTGTAGCGATCGTAGGAATCGCCGCTCCACCCCTTGGTCTTGTCAGCAGCCATGACCGAGAACGAGATCATGCACAGGACCACCTCCAAGACCCTGACGCACAGGCCCGCTCGGTTCAGCCTCTCCCAGCCCCTCGGCCTCCTCACCCTCCTCACCGCCGTTGTCCTCTCTCCTCGACCCCGTCCCCTTCCCCTCGTCCTCGTCGACGGAGCCGTCCCCTCCTCCCGCACCGCCCTACTGAGCACCACCGTCGGCGGCGGCGGCGGCGACTCGTCGTCCGACGACCCGTCCTCCGCGCTCCCGGCCTCCACGGCGAGCCCCCAGGGAGGCTCCGGCTTCTGGGCGTCCGGCGGGGGGGAGGGGAGGGGGGAGCGCCGCGCGGGCTCGTCGGGGGCGGCGGGCTTGGATGGGGGCGGGGGCGTGGGCGTGGGGGAGGCGGCGGGGGAGGCGTAAGGTGGGGTGTCGGCGGGGTCGCCGAGGTCGGAGCGGAGAGGGGAGTGGAAGTCGGAGCGGAGTGGGGAGTGGGGGGAGTCCGGCGGGTGGGGGTGGTTCGGGGATTCGAAGTCGCGGGAGGAAGGCTTCTTCTTCATCGCGGCGGCGGCGGCGGTCGCGGCGTCGGCAGCGACGGTAGTGGAGGGGTTGTTTGAGTTTGGCTGTCATGGCGATCTCTTTCGTGAGGTTGCTTAATAAGTTCGCAGACAAAAGAGAGCTTGTGGAAGGAGAAAACGAAAGAAAGCGAAAAAGGTTATATGAGAGGAGAGAGAGAGAGAGAGAGAGAGAGAAAAGGAGGAGGGAGGATCGTTTCGGGTGGGGTCCAGTGCCACGTGGGCTCACGGTTAACTTGTCCCGTCGAGTTGAGCCGGCCGAGCGTGTGGGGTCCGCCCCTGGGGACACGGAACCGAGACAGCTTGCGGACACGGGACACGTGTGCGGTCCCCACCGTGACGTGTCGCCGAACTTAGGGGCTAAGGTTCTTGTCCCAGAATGGGTAAAGAGTATCGCGCTAATCAACTCCCCCATTGGATGCCTAAACACGTACGATCGGGAGCCAAGTTTTTAGCCGAACAAAAGTCAACGACGATCCTCATTTGGTTTTCATGCGGGGCCAAGATGGACAAAACCAACGACGAGACTTCGGACGGCCGACAAAGCCCCCGGTGCACAAAGGGTCTCGGGAGAGCTGGACGTGGTCGGTCGGCCGGCGAGGGCGGACCTCGTCCTAGGATTAGCAAATTCTCGTCATGATCAGCGCCCCCATGGGAAAAGGCTCACTCGTAATTGGAGGAGATGCGAGGCTTTGAAAGCGAAAGAGCTGGTACGTAAAGGAGGCGCAGAGGGGGTGGTTTACTTTAACAGGGGGCTATTCTTCCATGGATCTTACCCTACACAGATTCTCCTCAGTGAAGTTTCTCATATGGACACGTCCGCAACGCGCGCGCGCGCGCACAAAATCCACGAGGCCGACAAAAAGAGGATGTCACGAATAATGTCCCAAGCATTTCTGCATCTTCGCCCGACACACATCACCTTAGAGAAACAAGAAAAGCATCAATCAAAACCATGGCCATCTCCCTCCCTCCTACTTTTCCCACCCCCCCCAAGTTGAGATGCAAAACAGCTTCTCCACCAAGGCAAAAATTTTAGGACATCACATAAAGATCCGGACATGATACCTCTTTATTTACGGCGTAAAATCACGACGCATCAACGGAAAGAGATCGATGAGAGCAATTGAGAGTTGAGATGCTAGTCGCCCTATCGACTGCTTCTCATTTTCTCTCGGGATGTATGAACTAGCCCCGCAAGGAGATACGAATTCCTTCGTATAATGGCATCGATCCACAGTACATTCACTATTTCAAGTTTTCCTTGAGTCAGAACTTCGAACCCCCTTGGTTTTGGCAACTTTATTAAAGAAATAAAAACCCTGCCAAATTTTTTCGAAATTTTGAATCACACCAACAGGCTAGGCATATGATCAGTTTGGTAAAGTCATATATTTGCATATCATTGATCTGAAAATGAGTGGCAACTAATGTTGTTACAAAATTCGTACCCTACATCAGTAAACTTACCGCATATGATGGGCGACACACGATGGACAAACGACGATCACATGGACAAACATTTCTGTCTTTACACGGGACAGGGTTAGCGTAAATTAAAGGTAAAACTTATGTGCGACAAGAAACAATGATCAACATACTCTTCACCTCAAATAGACTGTCCATTGAGCCCAGACCTATCAGGAGGTAGCGGTCCCATGCCGTTCGCTCGTTCCTGAGTAGCTGCAGCAACGTGTCCATTCTCACTGATCTCCAAGATAACATCGTTGCTGTTGGGCGGCCCCGCATTCTCAGACCGAACCGGACGCAGAAAGCCGTGCAATCTCAACAGATAGCTTTGGCTAGAAGGTTGTTGGGTCCGCACGTAACGGTTTGTTGTGACGATTGAGGCCGGTGATCGTTCCGATTCAGGACGAAGGTTAGACAAGGCGCTGAGGTCCAGGTTTGGGAACACAGAGCAGCGGCACCGAGGACATTTCACGTTAAGACGCAACCACTCGTCGATGCACTCCACATGAAAATTGTGAGCACAAGGAAGGCCTCGAACCTGAAATTTTTTTGGAGTAAGGTACTTTGTCCCCAACCCTTTTAAGTTGAAAACAATGGAATAACACAGCATTAACAAGAAACTAGTTATAAGCACTAGCGTCTCCACCTCTGTGCAATGTAACCCTTTTAAGTTAAAGCGGAGTTACCGAAACTAGAGGAGGCTCAATCACAATTCCATTCGTAAGCTACAAATCTCTGAAGAGGAGTAAATCTTACCTCATTCCCCACATGGAACTCTTCTAAGCAGATGGGACATTCACTGCAGTCAGTTGGAACAGCTTTAAGCCTGAACTTGGGGAGTTCCTGGATGAGTGCTTCAACTGCTTCCCTCTGCGCACAGCAAGAGAGGAAGCACGCCTCAAAGTTTAAACTTGCCATCAACAAGTTTATTAAAAGCATTGCCGCTGCTAATAAAGTTTTTTGAACAAATGAATTTAGTGATGACTCTCATATGAGTATCATTGGATCAATATTAACTAATGCCAATTTATGGAACGCCAACCATGACTTTAGGTTTTAGCTCTTATTACATCAACCGTGTTCCCTGCATCCAAGATCATAGGGGCTCATATTCCACACGCAAACAGAATAACCTATCGCTTAAGGAGTCTAAATCCTTGATCTACAAACCAAATTCAAAAGAGCCACTTGCCTGTGTAGGAGTTAAGTAAAGACCGGGGTGGTAAGTAGCAGCATCTGGTCCCATACCCCTCATCTCTTGACCGGCTGCTTCAAATGCCCAGTCTGGCACCCGTACCATATCAACTACAACCTGTAGAAGAACTCCAGGGCACGACATAGGAATGAGCAAACGCATGATGTGGCGGAAAAACATTTGCACTGGTAAAAAATACAAATATACAGGGGAAATTAGCCAAATCCTTTAGGAATCATTTCCAAGAATACACAGAATAGATCCACATCATTCTGGATGCCGAGGAGGGGAAAAAATGCTTCTGCAGTTCCCTAATCACTACAGAATGTCGCTCAGGACAAAGGAATCATAACCGACATCAAAGGATCAGAACCTTGACCCCCCGCATATCCAATGAATTTTTTTTTTTTTTTTTGGGTAAAGATATCCAATGAAGTTACTTCATGCAAAACTTATAAACGCAATTTACTCATGGTTATTGTAACTTTAAATGCCAGGAAGCCATAACAGGAGATTGAAATAGATATTCGCCAGAAATAAGGATCTATCCTTGATCCTTACCCCAAGTTTGTGTTGTGTTACAAAACAATTGCAATCAAAGAAACAACAGTTTTGAAATACCGGGACAGACAAGCACAAGTATATTCTTTAGTGCAGAGGTGCTTGTATTTGTCCTTCTCTGTAGAGACGGAAGAAATAATTTATCCAAAATAACAGCAAGATGAATAATAAAGAGATAAACATATAAAAGAACCTCAAATACTAACATAAAGCTTAAAGAAAATAATTAGAAGTACAACCTTTTAGACATATATCCATATCTCTGCATTAATTTAGGGGACTTACCCCATACTCTGATACAGGTATGCCTTGCTGAGCTCGTACAAGGTGTGCTTGTCTTCGTGTCAACCACTGTAATTTTTTATACATGACAGGTAAAAGAAGAAGGAAACTCTATAAATAAACAATTACGCAGGTCACAGCAAGACTACAGGTGAGTACAGGGAAAATGTTGAGACAGTTTCAGGAGCAGTGGGAAGGGGCAATGGAAATATAGACAGTGGTCAAATGAATGAAGCCACAAACCTTTCCCACGGACATGCAAGCTATGCAAAGGAGGCCGCAATAGCTGAAAAGTAGCCAAATAAGGAAACCCCATTTCTGACCCTCTTCTGGTAACTGCGAAAACCAAAATATAGAGTCTCCAACTTAAGCTCACAGAAGATGCAGTCGCTGACACAAATTTGACAAAAGAAAAGACTTACACAATTTTTTGCACTTGTGAACCATAGGGTGCCAATTATAGTCCAAGCCCAAAGAAACGGATATAGTATCAGTGAGAGAACAGAAAGTACGACTACTCTCCCACAAAATCGAGCATATCTCTGCTGCCAACCGAAGTCCCTAAGAACCCACACAATATTCAATATAAGTACCAAAAGGATACTTGCTACTTACGCAAGCAAAATCAATTTTATTCGTTGTCACTTCTTCAGGCAACACGAGCATGAAAGTTCCACGGCAGAGTAAAAAAAAAACTCTGGAGTCCAGACCACACAGTTACGAACAGTCACCAACCGACAGTCCAGCAACTTGACATCACCGCATGTGATAAGCATTCTAGATGCTAGAGAAAAGCGGGATTCTATTTGAACCACATGGATGCACAATTATCTACAAATTACACCTGGTGTCCGCTAATTCTCAAGTCAATGAATCACAGAGAGCAAGAATATGATAAGCAACCAATAGACCATACCGTCTGTAGTAAGGATATCGATAGAGTAGATGAAGTGGTGTTAAGCCATGCACAGACAAGTTGTTACAATGATTAAAAAGCGCTATATGGGTAGTCCCTGATGCGATGAATAGTTTGAAACTGAATGCGTAAAACAAGTTCTCTAGAATGGCAAAGTATTCAAGCAATCATCCATGCACAATCACTTCACAACCATATCAACCCCACACAATATCTAAAATATCACTTTATACATAACGAATGGTAGAAGGACATACAATCCCATTCCAGCAGCGAGTCCATTATCTACAAACATCAACAAGCGAAAAACGAATACAGTCGTGTAATCAACCTGCACCAAAGAGTATCCATAAGTTAGAAAAGACATTATTCCTTCTGAGAAGAACAAAAGATCCTCACACACACAATATAATCAACTTGAGATGAGATGCGAAACCCACCACAATCCATATGTGCAACGGGTATGTACAAAGATGATACCGTTTCCAGTTGATTGCGACAATGACACTGAAAACACATTGTTAAGAATAACACGACTTCGCCAACAAGTAATATAATAAAAGATTAGCCCATAATCGATCTTCAACAACGAGAAATGCACCAAAAGTTGCACGGTATCTCGCAAGATCAAAGATTCAATCAATTCCGCGAACTCTTCCCCAATCATATCGGAGCAATCAAAGCACACCTATAAAAAGCAGTGCATCACATCCAATGTGGAGAATTACTACACCGATTCTTGAAATTTTGCCAATGTGACACGCACTCGCATCCACGAAACGACCCATCATCCCGACGAAACCCCATTCCTAAGAGCACAACAACTCGGAAGAGACACACCCAAGGATACACACTGGTCGCGAGCATGGACAAGAAGAAGCCGTCGTACCTGCAAGAAACCCCATTTTTTCATTCCCCCGAGAAATCAAGAAAGACCATCCGAGCAAGAACGCCTCCCCGGGAAAACTCGGGGCCCGAGGAGGGAGGGATCGGGAACTAACCACTTGAAATCGACACCCCGGATAGCCATCGCAAGGGAACGACCGCCGATCAAGAAAACCCTAGAGCCGCATCAAGAACCCACCCCTTTTGGCCCCCCCCTCTCCACCTCCACCTCCAAACCGAAGACCCAGTGAGGCCCCTCTTCAAAGGGAGGATGAAGAGACAGAAAGAGACAACGAGAAGGAGAAACGCAGGCTCAGTAGAGCAGTGATGTGTGAAGCAGAAGCAGAGTGGGACGGCGATGGCGATGGCGATGGCGATGGCGATGGCGATGGCGCTTAGAAGAGACACGGTTCTCGACGGCGTTCGGAATCTTTGATAATCAAATCGAACCGAACGAACGAAACGAAGGAGAGAGATTTGGCCGTATGTTCCATCGTACGTGTCGCGTATTTTCGAATTTGTTCCTCGTTTTCCCCGACGCCTTTTCGTACCAAGAAAAAATCGTTCACATATGTCTTTGGGAGTAACGCATTAATTGCGTTGGTGGGCGACACGTCATGCGCGAAGCGCTGACGTGTCAGGTTCGGATTGGGCTGGGTTGGCCGGAGCGCCTGGCGACTCCTCCTTTGTGCCTTCTTAACCGAAAAAAGGCATGTCTCCTTTCCAAATTTTCAACTTCCCAGTGCAATTCTTCTTCTTCTTTTTTTATAAAAAAAAATATATTTATTTTGTTCTGCTCTTTTTGGTCGGTTTATAAATTTCGTTTGTCCGAGCACATAAAAAGTTGCAAACTTACGCCGCCCGATGATTGTTTGTGCATCGAGTAAGACTTCACTTTGATACTCTGCGTATCGTAAATTAGGCGGTGTTTAAAAAACGAACTTCAAGCTCCGTCTGTTTCGAGAAAAATGAACAAATTGAAAAGTATTTTCCTAAAAATGATCGCCTGTATCGCTTGAATTAAAAATATTTTCACTATTGATCATAATTTATGTTTAAATTTTTTGTAGATAATGAAAATATTTTTTGTTTATTCAATTTTGTTAGTGATATGAGCGATCATATTTAGGAAAATATTTCTCAAAACATTTATTCTTCGCGAAACAAACGGAACCTTAGTGTATTTGGACGTATACCGTTAAAAGAAAAGAACAATTCCTGAATGCAATATATATTCTCAAGATCAGAATTTTATGGAATTATGTACTGGAGTCATAAATGCGAGGGTTGATGGTGGGGGTTGAGCTGCTTAACCAAACGTAAACACACCAGCTGCAGCTACCAAAGTTTCATTGATCTGGCATCAGAAGAGCCCTCAAAATTTTTTAATTTTCCTTCCCACCTCTCAACTTACACAAGCTAAAACCACAGAAGCCGAGTACCCTGGTTTTTACTCGGCATCTCATCATACGGCTTACGTTGCCCGTGATCAGAACGAATGCCTTCCTCGCTGATCTCCGCGTATCTGCAGCGATGCCATCCGAAAGGAAAGGATAGTTTGTACCTGCAAAAATTGTTTGGCTGTCGATTTGAGAACTCCACAGAAGGCATTGACAATGAGCAGAAGAAAGATTTAGGTGGGTATAACTGTAACCAGATAATCTAAATTCAGAAATCTGCTTACCACTAAACACTTGAAAAGGATAATTTTACAAGAGGCGGTCTTAAAGCAATACGATCTAGTAGTTTCGGCATGATCCAAATTTGAAACGGGACAGAGTGTCATAATTTCGGCAGAGAACACAGAGTGGGCATACGAGGTCAATCATGATGCAAAAAGGCTGTGCTTCTTACCCCTCTCATAGGTTTTTGTGATCAAATCCTCTCATGGGATCCGTCACAATACATTGAACTCAAATATCGAAAGCCGTCCTATTCTCACCAGGAGGCCACAAGAAGAAAAGGAAACACCAAGCATTTTTAGAGGTAAAGAAGTAAGGAAATATCAACATTAGTCCTCATGGAAAATCAGTCATCTGATGCCTCGAAAGGAAGAGAGCAAATTCCATGAGGACTATTTTAATGAGAAAGAGTAACTAATGAAGTGACGTGGAGAAGCTGGCCCAAAACATATAAATCCAAAGCAAAATAAAAGTCATGAACACCTAGACAAGCCGATAACAGATGCAGTTTTCATAATTGACTAAGAAACATGAGATGGATATTGTTTCAGAAAATGCATTTAGAAGGAATGATTAAAACAAGTGAAGATGAACTCCAACAGTCTCACATAAACAGACTTACTAGTTTCAGCAATAAGTGAACACGAACTCCAACATGAACCGAGATTTTCCTCCCAAGTTCCTGATGCAAGAGCTTTAAAGCCTTCAATGGGAATAAAAGATGTATTAAACAACTTACTCCCTTAGCAGATACAGCCAAACCATAAAAGTTCATTAACAGCAGCTAATTCATAAAGGCCGTAATTATCAAGACTAAGTCCTTGAGGTACAATATTGATTCACATGATTGGTGATGTCAAAATTATACTTAAGATGACAGGGGCAGGACAGCAAGAAATATAAAACTTAGTTATGAGTTTTCCCTCTTACTTGGCCTTTGCCCTCTACATATCCAAATGTCACAGGGTTAGTCTCAACCTTTATATTTTAAATAAGAGAAGGCTGGGATACCTCATACTAACTACAGATATTAAGTGCGCGCGCGCGCGCGTGAGAGAGAGAGAGAGAGAGAGAGAGAGAGAGAGAGAGAGAGAGAGTATACAAATTCAGGTACAACTTGGTGGATTTAAGCATTTATAAACAGCAGATGCAGGCTGCTTATAAGTTGGTATGCTGCTGGTATCGACAAATTTGACCTCTCCAGGAGCAAAAGAAAGCTCTCTGTGCCTGAAAAACTAGACAAAATGAAGCAACAAAGACCGCTGTTTACAAGATATATGTGTCATATAACTTCAATAACATCTACCTCCGAAGGTCAAGGCCAACCATGCCAGCTTGTAAAACTGACAAATTGTCAGAATCAGGCGATACAATGATCACGGTGTCTTCTGAGTACTGGGTCTCAAGAATTGACATAAGTTGTGTTACGCGAACAAATACGTCTGCGACACTCTCATTTGGAGTCCCATCATCTATGGGAGGAGGCCTGATCCTCGGAGAGATGCTGTCAGATTCATATACCTAACGCTACCATGGATGAGAGTTTGTCCAGTTACAAAGAGAAGGAAACACACACATGGATGGGCATGTGAACGCGCAAACATAAAGTATCCAGTAGAAGAGATGGTTAATCCTCTCCAGGTCTACATTAACGTAGAAAACCCACCACTAAACATTCCACTTGGTAAGTTATGAAAGATGCTTTCAAGTTTGAGAAAAGCTAACAACGCGGAAATAACAACATTCAATCATACCGAGATAACACAGCTTTGTTCACCCTTACCTCAGAAACAGAGTCAAGGTTCTTCCCTTCATAGGCTCCCAATCCCCTGGCATCTAGGAAGCTATACTCTGGGACTATGTAGCTGCAATTGGAGAATGAAACAATTGGAGTGACAAGTAAACAAAACAGCATGATATTTTTGCCAAAAGTGATTGCAATATCATTGTGACATCCAACTTCAGAATTCTAACTACTGAAGGGTATGTTCCAATCAAATCAGATAAGCAAGAAGGCTAAGAGACCATAGCTTATGCTTCTGACGATTGACTTCTAAGTTCACCACAGCTTGACAAGGGAAAACCAATTGATCCAATTTATCTGATTTAAGCTAAGTTGAAGTTCGCAAATTCTTTAGTCAAAACTTACAATACCAAGTACCTGCGCTTCTGTAACTAAAACAGAGGTTTATGACTAAAACCCTGCGCAAAATTTAAGTCCAGCGACATGAACTCCTAAACCCTCTTTACATACCGGTTTCTAAGAGGTTAACGACTCACCTCCGACTGATCTTATTGACCGAAGCAATGATTTCAGCAGCCTGGTAAGCTCTCTGAGTGATAGAAGGCCAAATCCAACAATTCCTTTCGCACGCCCCCATCTCCTTCAAATCGAAAGCTGCCCGAACCATCTGCTTCTTCCCTTTCTTCGACAACCCGCTATCAACCGACGTCTTCGCAACCGGATTAGTGTTGATTATGCCCAAGCTCTCATACTCAGATTCCCCTGCCCTCACCAAGAAATACCTTCCCACAGCAAACCCACCAGTAAATATATAATTCATTCCTCTAAACTTCACCCAAAAGAATAAAACGACTTAAGAGGGGGTTGAACTCTGAAAGTGCAACTCTAAAGTAACTGCAATCACTCATACAATCAGAAATTTAATCCCCAATCAAAATGCAAGTCGAATTCAATCGTAGCAAACTAAAAAGCACAGCTTCTTGAGACGTGAGAATCAGAAAGGACAGGACTTGAACCAAAACTTCCTCCAGCAACGCTAACATCAGCAATTAACGGCAAACCCAACACGGCAAGAACAACAAAACGTCCAAATGAGCAGAATCACGAACAAGGGTCGGTCTCACCTGTTGGTGAGCCGAGGAGGGGGCATCTGGAAGAGGCCGCGGGCATCAGCGACGGGCGAGAACGGCGACGTGGGCTCGCTCGAAACGAAGAGAGGAGCGATGGGTAAGACGAGGGCAGTGAGGAGTTGCCGCCGGGAAGCGGGTCTGAAGCGAAAGCTTTGATCTTGTTGAGGAGGATGGTGGAACCGCGATGGCGGACATGGGGAGGTGGCGCAGGTGGACACCGTCAGCATCTTCGTCGAGGAATTCGGAATGGATTGTTTTGCAAATGTTTAATGAAAATGGATAGGAAAAATCTCAGTGCTGCTCGGTGAACTCGCCGGTGCACGGTTTGCTGATAGTTCCCAAGAACTCTTGAGAGGAGCTTCCTTTTTGCGCCAAATCTACTTCTTACCTTTTTCTTTTTCAATCTATCTTTTTGAGTCGTTTTTTATTTTTTTTGGGTTTATATCGCAAAAAACCACCGATAAATTTACTCAAAATTAATTTTTTTGATAACCAAAAGCTCCAAATCGATATGGACGTGACACATTTACTCTCTGTTAACTTCCGTCAAGTTTTCCCATGAAATTACTGAGCTGGACGATACCTAATAATAATTTGGTTGACGAGGCAAGTTCGGGTGGAAATTCATAACTCTCTCTCTATTTTCGAACTTTGTTTCTTCGATTATCCCTAATTTGAAAACAAATAGGCCTCATTCTCTCTCTCTCTCCATCAAAGTATTCTAATCTTTCTTCGTCTTCCTCTTCATTGGGCACACTCCTTCGTTGTTGTCTTTGTTTTCGTGATTAGGCATTGGGACTTGTTCGAGCACACTTTTTATCTCCAATGTATGGATTTCCACGTGAACTTGTCACGTAGACTGAGTTATTGCCACGATTCACCCAGCTCAGCTATTTTACTGGAAAATCTGAAGAAAATTAACGGAGAATAAATGTGTCTCCCGTATACCAATTTTGGGTTTTTAGCGACTCAAAAATTAGATTTGGGTAAATTTATCATATGAGTACCGGTTGGGTTTTTGGTGATCCAAAAATTAATTTAGGCTAATTTATTACATGTATATAACTTTAGAGTTTTTCGTGATATAAACCTTTTATTTTCTTAACTTTGATATTTTGTTCCCTTGTCACATTCACGTTTATTTGAATTTATAGCTTATAAATTTTCTAAGTTTAACAAATAGAATAGCATGCCTGAATTCAAAAAAAATATAAAAAAGGACAAACATAATATAACATTTCCTCCATCTTCCCGGCTAAAGATAAGAAAAGGGAGAAGCAATTGAGTAATGTTAGGTTTGCTGCACTTTTGAGTAAGTGAATTATGTACGATCCAGCCAAATAGGCCTGCGTCTCTCTTGGTAAAGGAATTTGGGGGTAACGACGCTAGTATCATAGATGCGGGATTCGACTCCCGCGCTTTGCAAGAGGCAAAGCAAAAGTTAGAAAATGAAGAGAGTTAAAGTTAAGACAGACCACAAAAACATATATGATCCGATGAAAGTTTTGTCGTATCACTTGATACGTCAGTTTGAGAAGTGGATTTAACATTATACAAGAAACGAAGATTTCCGACTAGCAAAAAAGAAGAAACGAAGTTATTAATAACAGCATTTTATCGACAAGTGTTCCACTGGCACTTGTTATATGCCAAATTAAGGGAAGCTTTTCTTCGTGTTATGTAAAATCAATGTAAGTTCGTCTCTTTTTTTTCTCTTTAAGAAAAAGGGCTTAAGCCGAATATAGAAATTAATGTCAAAAATCGATTATACCTATTTTACCACATAACATAATAAGAAGTGGCTCTCTACAAGGTAATAAAAAGAATGTAGTGTCCAAGTGCTTATCAATTTTAAGATTAGTAAGTCAATCAGTAGGGCGATTTCATTCTCGAAAATTATATTGCACTTTGAACTGAAAAAACGAGAGCTCGAAATCTTCTAATATCTTTAAGCAAAGTAGGGCAGTATCATCGATTATAAGCTCCGGACTCACAAGATTAATGACGAATTTAGAGCAATGATCTTGTGATAACCAAGTTGTTTTGCGAAATTGAATCCCAACCACAAAGCCCAAAGAACTGCCGGTGACAGATGAACATATTCTGACGAATATGCAAGTCCTAGGTTACCTTTAAGGGCTCATCGATATTTAATTTACTTCACAATCTCAACTGACCGAAACAGGAGAACTGCGAAATCCACTTAACGTCGAGCTATTTGCGGACCGAAGCCTTTGATGATTTCCTCCACGCGTGTCCGAATCACTTGTACCGGATTCAAAGGAAAAACGAAATCGTCCCGAAAACGCGACTCGTTTCTTCATTGCCCAAAAAAAATCAAAAAAGCCCACATGCTCGCTCGCTCCAAAAGTCATGCTCCGACCACGAGAAAAATAACGCTTTCCGAAACGAGAAAATCGACGAGCGCCTCGGACCACTTACTAGTAAAATTGACCAAAAAAAGGAAAAAAGCATTACGAAGAGTTAATGCCGAAGCCCATACTCAGCCAGACATCATGATATACGTTGCCCTACACATGACGTGGCGACATTAAAGAATTGCAGCTGTCGAGTCAGCCGCATCAATTTGCCAACGCCAACGGAGCAGGTCCGGATTTCAACTGCGAATAGTTATTGCGGGAGGGGGGGAATTAAAGCACTAAATTTTGGTCAAAAGTTTCAAAGCGCCGAATAAAATAGAGGTTTCCTACGCTTTCTGCCGTACCGATTTTGTCCAATTAATACGCGATAATCCATATTTACATTCCATAAATTAACATATCATATCCCGAAAAATATTGGACATAGAAACTGTGCTTATCCAAATGAAGGATTTGCTAAGAGGAATACGCGTTTTTCCCCTTTGGATGCTTCTCGCACGGAGAAATGCGCGTTTATAATTTTTACATTATTCACTAAGACTGATTTGTAAAATCGATGCGCTAATAAGTAATGTGATCGGGTTTTTAGTGCCCCACCTCAACCCCTTCCGAATGTTTTATGTTCTCACAGACCCGTTTGGGTTGTTCTTTGTTTTTAAGTGTATGATATGGAAAGTGATAATCCGATAAAAAAAAAAAAAAGTAATGCGATCGGGTACGTTAAGATCGTTTGTAAAATCGAAATACTAAATGACGCTGTGGATAACACGTTCGATGTTTCGAGGGAATGGTAATTTTAGCGTTATTTTTATATTTCCATTACCCATTATTGATTTTAATTCTTTTCGTTCCGTTTCAGTTGGCTAATTTTCAAATCTTTGTGCTCTTCTTGAATCCATCGCTCGGTCTCCGAGCTGGTTCTTGTTTTCCTATATATTCTCTGCCATGTCGAATTAAACTTGATTATCAGCCCCATCACTTCGTGCTTCATATTCTGCAACCAATTATTAAAATAATATTTATCCATGACTAGTTAAGTAGCAACATAGCACATGCCACGCAACAACAAAAGGACGTTGGTCATGAGATTAGCTCCCTAGCTTGCCCAAAAAATCCTAAACCTATTGTACGTTGTCTAATTTAGTTTCCAATTTCTCAATTTTGCTAATTTAATCATAAAATTTTTAACATTTTATCAATTTAATCCTAAATCTTTTGAATTAACAGGAAATGACTACATTGTCAAATTGTCAAATAGTTTAGGATTGAATTGGCAAAATTGAACAAAAAATACGACTGAATTCGCCACCGCACAATAGATTTAGGACAATCTTCCTCGAGCTGAAAGTCATTGTGTTCGAAAAATATTAGATAATATGAAAAATAAGAATTGTTGGAAATTTGTTAAAAAATATGAAAAAATAAGATAAGAAATATCTGAGGCGTGCAAGCATACGAAACTTGATGCGATAGGCTCCAGCAACTATTCTTTCAAGATACAACACACCTTTTTTTTTTATTCGGCACTAAATAATAAAAGGAACATCATCAACGTCATGTGTATAACCTATCATAGAAATGAAGATGTGCAAAGAGAAACAAGAATGTTCTTGTTTTGATATATTCATATCACTTTTCATTTATGTTTGGAGTAATAAAAGAACGAGAGAGTCATTTTCCAATATCAATAATTCTCGTGTTTGATTGGAAAAAACGTTACGAATAGTAGTTACAAAAACCGTTACTAGACCGTTATAAAACCTTACAAAAACCGTTACAAATCGATAACGGTAAAAAGACCGTTACAAAAAAAATAATAATAATAGCTGTCAATATTTCAAAAAAAACTTATTGCAATATGCATCACATCGTTCTTGTGCAACATGATCCTTTCGTGCCGATTGAAGAAAAGGGAAGAGAAAGCTCGCAAGGCATTCCCTCATGGCTTCATGGGCGTGCCACAAATGTCTGCTATATGTTTTTTTTTTATGGCGTGATCTGCTGCAATAAAGACGGCAGAATCATGAAGAGTGTGCATGAATGCTCATGATAATGTCCATGTCCGTCAACCTACGCAAAGGCTATATATAACTCTACGAAAAGCAAACGATAAATATGATTGAAAAACCAAGTCGAAATAACTTCACTCGACAGAAACCAAAGCAACTTTCATCATTTTAGACCAAGAAGAAAAGAAGGAAAAGAGAAGCAGAAGTGCCCCGCTCTCTCTCTCTCCTTTGATTTCTCTCTTATATGTTCTTCTTGATAGGGGAACAACACACAGCTGAAGAAGCTCTCACTCTCTCTCAAATGGACAGTCGTCGCATCTGTCTTCTGATCTTCTTGCTCTCGTCACTTTTCGCTTGGAATGTACGGCTTCGCTCTCGCTCTTCCACTGATTTTTCTTGATCTTGTCTCTGTCTCAACGTGGCGTTTACGCGAGCTTTTGTCTTGTGCAGGCAACTTCAAGTGCTGCGGCGACGGCGACAGGAACCAGCACAGCAACAAGACCGAACCCTTTCACGCCTAGAGCCGCCTTCGTTCGCTACTGGAAGGCGCAAGTCTCCGACGACCGCCCGCCGCCGCCTTTCCTCCTCTCGAAGGCCTCCCCGTTGTCCGCCGCCGCCTACGCCCTCCTCGCGAAGCTTGCGGCCGGGAACTCGCTCTCATCGCACCTCCGCCTCTTCTGCTCCTTGGCCAACCTCTTCTGCTCCTTCGACGAGGACTCGAGGAGTACCCAAAAGGATCTGGATGAGGACGCGAACTTCGCGGTCTATTCCAACAAGCGCTTCGCCAGCTACGGCACGGACCGGGTTGGTGGGGCCGACTCGTTCAAGAACTACTCGGAGGGGCTCAACAAGCCCGACTTCTCCTTCAAGAAGTACACCAAGGACGGCTCGGGCCACAGCGAGGGCTTCGCCAGCTACGCGACGGAAGGCAACGTCGCCAACGGCAGCTTCGCCAGCTACGGGTTCGGAGCCAACGGCGGGTCCGGCGAGTTCAAGAACTACCACTGGAGGGTCAACGTGCCGAATCTGCTCTTCACCACCTACGACTCGGACGGTAACTCTCTTTGAAAACGAAAATATATTTTTGAACTTGAATCGTGATCGATTCTGCTTGATGGCACGACCTTACGTACAGGCAACAATCACAAGCTGTCTTTCGCGAGCTATAGCGACGACACCAACAGCGGAAGCCAGTCCTTCACGAGCTATGCCAAGCACGGGAATAGCGTCCCGACACAGTTCGCCACCTACGGCGACGACTCGAACACGATCGCGTCGACCTTCACGGGTTACGGGCTACTAGGCAACGCCGGAAACGACACGTTCACCAGCTACGGTGGGACCGCCAACAACCCGCATAGCACATTCAAGAACTACGCTGCTGGCGGGAACTCCGCGACGGAGAGCTTCACGAGCTATCGGAACGGAGCCAACGTCGGCGACGACTCGTTCCAGTCCTATGCCAGGAGCGCAAACTCCGCGAAGACGACATTCGCGAGTTACGGGAAGTCGTTCAATCCGGGCAACGACACGTTCAAAGAGTACGGCAAAGGATCGAAAGGCAAGACCGCGATCGAATTCAAGTCGTACAGTGTCGATCGAACGTTCAAAGAGTACGCCCAAAAGGGTGTCACGTTTGCTGGTTATAGCAATGTTACAAGCGAAGCAAAACCATTATCACCTTCTTCAAGTACTACCAGTGGCAATTCCGTGAATGGGTGGGTCGAGCCGGGCAGATTCTTCAGGGAGTCCGCGTTGAAGCCGGGGAATGTCATGCAAATGCCGGACATCGTCGACAAGATGCCCGGAAGGTCGTTTTTGCCCCGGGCCATCGCGTCGAAATTACCGTTCTCGACCGCGCGGCTGCGGGAAGCGAAGGAGCTGTTCCACGCGGGGGAGGGCTCGGCCACGGAGCGCGTGATCGTCAATGCGCTAAGCGAGTGCGAGAGGCCACCGAGCCGGGGCGAGACGAAGCGGTGCGTCGGGTCCGCGGAGGAAATGGTCGACTTCGCGGCGTCCGTCCTCGGCAGTGGCATCACAGTCCGGACGACGGAGAACGTCAATGGGTCGAAGCGGAGGGTTGTGATCGGTCCGGTCAGAGGGATCAACGGAGGAGAACCGACCGAGTCGGTGTCGTGCCACCAGAGTTTGTACCCATACTTGCTGTACTACTGCCACGCCGTGCCCAAAGTCAGAGTGTACGAGGCTGAGATTCTGCACTTTGTGGGGAGGAGCAAGATTAACCGCGGGGTCGCCATATGTCATCTCGACACGTCATCGTGGAGTCCGGACCACGGTGCATTTGCCGCGCTCGGGTCCGGACCCGGGCAAATAGAGGTGTGCCATTGGATCTTCGAGAACGACATGACCTGGACGGCCGCAGATTGAGCGAGAAATCGTTCGATAAAGGCGGGTACACGTGCCCGAATGGAAAAATGGACCGTTGGATCCGGTGAAATTCACGTGAGATTCATATCAACCCGCCACCATTGTCGATGATTCAAATCTAGCTCAGTTTGTACACAACACTCATGTAATAATTTCTCAAGCTTTTGCTTTTTCCTATATTGGAACTAGGAAAAGATGAGATGGGGGTATTTCATTTCATCCAATTCTTCTCGGAATCAAAGGTTGCAGATTGGTGGAAAACGAAAGCTTTTTCCTTTTTGGTTGCTTTATTTTTTGGCTTTTTGGGTTATAAATGGTTCATTCGTAACTTATTCAATCGAATTGAAGTGAAATGAAACTGCTTTTGTATCCTCCTTCTTTGTTACATTTACCAAACTTCAAAATGACGTGAAACCCTCATGAAATTTTGAATAGGCCAATGTTCTTTTACAAGGAAATTAGCTCATAACCGGAATATAACACCACAATTAAACACCCGAAACTTACAGCATCGACTTCGTATTGATGACATTACATTCTAAAGAACAACTTAAAGCACTGTTGTTAAATCTATTGCGAATAAAGTAAAGAAAAGGTGCTAAAGCTGAATTGAATAGAAATCTTTAGCCAGAAATGTTGGGACAAGCTTAAAGGGATTGATTCTCTTCGGAGGCAAATGCAAAAGGCAGGAAATCCGATGTTTCTTGATTTTGATTTCCAAAGGGGCAAGAAATCTCACGACGACAAAGTCATGTCTCTTCTCTTGTCCCATTCATCCCCCCCATGCAATGCAATACGAAACCTAAAGAAAGAAGAAGAAAATCTCGAATTTCACTTGGTGATTTCCACACTCTTGGCGATTCAAGAAGAGGAGGGCCATTGAATTGACAGAAAGTGCGCGTGTTCTGCGAGTCTCCAAGGCTGACAAAAGTGAGGCCAGAGAGAGAGAGAGAGACAGAGAGAGAGAGCAAGCATGCTGTATCTCCGTAGATCCATGCAGCTTTAAGTGCAACCAAAGGAAAGCATGTAAATATTCATATTTCTATATTACCGAGGGTACCTCGGTAATCATGGGCCTGCCTTGCATCCTTGGTAGATCTGTTAAACGGGTGAATCGAATCGAGTTTAGGTCGGATCATAAATTATCCGATTCAAATTAATCTATTAACCCATTTATGATCCATTTATTTGTAATGTAAATATCTCGACCCATACCGACCTGACCCGATCCATACCCAACCCATATCCAACCCGACCTATATTGCTAAAACATTTATATATTTAACTCAATATAGGAAAACTTGTTTCTTATGACTTTTTAAAAAAATTATGCTATTAAAATATTTTCATACAATACAAAGCTAGTGAACAATTTTTATAATTTTTTTTAAAATTGAGGTTTTGTTTGTTTCGCAAAAAATGCAACATTTTTATAAATATTTTTCATGAAGTTATTATCCAAGAAAATAAAAAAATTTCAAGTATTTGGCTGAAACCTAAAAATGAACTAGAAAATATTTTTCGACGTTTGGTATATAAAATCTGATTTGATTTTACTTCATGTATTCATTTTAATAATTTTATTATTTTAAAATCCAATTTTTTATTTTTTAATTTTTTAATTTTCCTTTATTTTTGGCCGGTGGTTGGCCACGACGACGGCCGGCGTTCGGCCACTGGCCACAGGCGAGGACGAGCTCACCCAATTCAGGCAAGCCCAGCCTCGCTAGCCTCGGACAAGGCTCCACCTCGCTAGATCCGGTAGGGTCGAGCTCGCCTGAGGCCGGCAAGCTCGAGACTCGCCAGATCCCGCCTTGCCACAGGTCGGCGAGGTCAAGCTCACCCGATTCCGGCGAGCCCGAGGCCTTGTCGGCCTTCGGCAAGGTCGTTCCTCACCCGTGGCCGGCCACCGGCCGAAAATACAGAAAAAAAAAATAAAAAGAGAAAAAAATAAAAATAAAAATAATTTCGATTTTAAAAAAAAATATATTTTTATAAAAAGGGGTGAGCTTAATGGGTGGGTTGGAAATGGGTTCCACACTCAACCCATTAAGACCCATTTATGATAGGCTTAAAACTTTGAAACCCATTTAAGATGGGCTCTTCAAAATTGTATTGACACATTTATGACCCATTTATTTTTTAAATGGGTCATATATGGATTGTAAGACCCATTTAATAGGTCTAATCCTTGGTGGTGGTTACCGAGGGTACCTCGTCAAAGCAAGGAAAGCAGAAGCTTCTACTGGGCCGCCCCACCTATCTAGGTGTATACACCTGACGGGCTAACAGATCTTCGTTCTTTATTTTTACGTGTCGGTACCCACACGCTCAGTCCTTAAGTTGGGGGATAGTTTTTTTTCCCTCACCCCAAGAAATACTCCCACGTTTAACGTCTCAGAGTCCAGACAAAATAGTTTAAGGACATGCTTAGGTCCAATATGTATATATATGGATAATTACCAAAAAAATATTGCAATTGTACCAATTTGGTCTAACCTTTCATTTGTGCTAATTTAGTTCTAAATCACATTTTACTAATTTAGTCACTCTGGCCAATTTTAACCGAAAATCATTGTATGTGGACGTCGGCCGTCATACGTGGCACAATCGGGTGCTGATGAGGACATTTTCAATAATATTTTAATTTTTTAAATGTTTTTTCTTTTATTTTCTAATTATTATTTTTTTCTTTCTTTTCTTTTTCCTTTCATTTTGGGTCGCTGGCGGGAGTAGCAGCCCTTGCTAGGCCCTTGCCAAATCTAGGCGAGGGCCACCTCGCCTATGGCTAGTGACAAAATGAAAGGAAAAAAAGAAGAAATAAAAAATAAAGTTATTTTTTAAAAAAAAATTATTAAAATTATTTACATTAGCACCAGTCATGCCATGTAAGACCGCTGGTGTGTCCACATTAGTGATTTTTGACAAAAATTGGCCAGAAGGACTCAATTGTCAAATGGTGAAAATGTTTAAGAATAAATTGGCACAATTGAAAGGTTTAAGACTGAATTGACATAATTATAATATATTTATGACTTTTTTGTAATTCCCCTATATATATATATGTATATTATGAAAATCTTTATCGTATTCTAAGTTGGGTCTACAACCCCCCCACCCCCCCCAAAAAAAAGATGATTATCCTGGAGACGATTCTTAATTGTTTTGTGTTGGCTTCTCTTAAATCTATTGGTCCAGTCATTACTTTCTTGAGCTAGATCTTGCACCCAAAGCACCATCCATCTTTGTAACCCCTAAAGAGAAGACTACGACCCGTTTGCTTCGGTTTTTGGAGAAATATCTTTGGGAAAATGCAAATGCCTTTAGGCGAATGGGGATTTTCGAAATGCAAATAGTAGTTGGTAAATTGTAATTTGAAAGTGCATTGGGAAATGACTTTGGCTTAAATGGTGTTTGGCAAGATCACACTTTGAAAAGCATTCATCCTTAAAAAAAAAATAAAAAACACAAAACCGGCAAGATTCAACGGCCGGCGAGGCTAATAAATTGGTTGTTGGCAGCCTCTCCTAGGTTGCACAACCCCAAGCGTCGCGGCCTAAGGTCCGGCGACCTCAAGCAACCGTCTCCTGGGTGCAAACCTAGGCAACATGGCCTGGGTCGCACGTCAGGCGACCTTAGGTGAGGCTGCCGGCGCCAAATCTGGCTCACCGGCAGCCACATATAGCCTCGCCGGAATCTCGACCAATGCTTGCCGGCGGCCTAAAACCTAGCCAGTGACGTCGCATTAAGTAGGGACATTTTCGGAACTATGAAAGTTCAACGAGGGTGAAGTTGGAAGAAAAAAAATCTATTTGCATTCTGAAAATGCTACTTTTCAAAGGACTTCCGGACCTGGCTTGAGTTAAAGGCCTTTAGAGGTCTTTTGAAATGCAATTGCATTTCCTCAAAGTCAAGCAAATAACGAACCAAATGCTATTTGCATTTGTCAAAGAGACTTTAATGTCCCAAATAAAATTTGGAATGCTGAACCAAACGAGGCCTACAGATCGTCCTATCATGATATTTGTTTAAAGAAATGTCGCCTGTCATGGTTTCTTTAAGACACACCACCAGAAAGTTCATTCGGGATTAATACACGGTTGGCGCTCGTCTTCAAGTGTACCGGTGGCTCAAAAAGTGTCGTATATAAGCGATCAAATTTATAAAAACATTTTTCAAGGCATTCATTTATCGTAAAACCAACGTAGCCTTTAGTGTCAAATCATCATATGCTATGAGAATAATTTGAGAACTGTTTTTGCTCATGGTCAAAGCACAAAAGATGATTCATATCTACCCCAGCAAACACCTATTAAGAGTCCATTGCTTGGACGAAGTTGCTTTCTTCGCAAATCAAGAGTCTAAGGGCTCGAGAACAAGCCTCGTGGGCCAATTTGGAGTAGAAATGGACTTCGGTTGCCTCAGGTAACAAGACTAACCAACAAGAAGTCTTGACAAAAAATCCTGAAAAATTGGATAACATTAACTTTTTCCAAAAAAAAAAAAAATGAAACCAACAAGAAGGAAGTACACTCATAGCAATTTGAATAACTACTTAAATGTAAAACTCAATTTTAATAGCGTACTCGCGAAAACATTTCACCAACTTAATGAAATTTCAAAGTACTACCAATCAAGTGAAAAAATTCGAAAGTTGGCTAGCATGGTGAAAAAGTGCGGTTGTACAAAAAGGAAAAAAGCAGCGAGGTAAAATTTTTTTATTTGTAAAGATATACTAAGGGAAGGTTTTAACAGATACCCCATATGGTATACCGACGATTAGCTGATGATCTTTTATTTTTATTTTGTAATTATGATTATTTGATTTGATTTTGTGAAATTTGTTGTCGAGCGTAGCTTACTTATATTTGATATAGTGGCATTAGGAATTTTCGAATTTTACAATATAATCTCCAAAGATCGAAACAACAAAAAATGATTATAATCAAATTCCAATTAAAAATTTTGACGCCTTAGGTTTGCTGTCTTTGCCTAAGGCGAAGGAAAAATTGGACCTAAGATGTTTTGTCGCCTTAGCCCATTTCTTTACACTGGTCGCGCCGGCCTGATATAGGGGAGGGAGGGAGGGGCCGACGAGCGACGACAATGACGGCAAGGATGCACCGGTGGCAAGGACGACGAAGGCGGCGGGGCAGAGTGAGGGCCGGGGGATGAGGTGTTAGGGTTTTGGCTTCATGGAATAGAGGCATTGTTACTTT